CTTTAAAGGCTTGTAGCCTGCTTTTCTTCTTTAAAGGCTTGTAGCCTGCTTTTCCTTCCTTAATAGGCTTGCAGCCTACTTTCCTTGTTTTATAGGCTTGCAGTCTGCTTTCCCTTCTTTAATAGGCTTGTATAGTCTGCTTTCCCTTCTTTAATAGGCTTGCATAGTCGCAAGCAGGTTTGGGCTTCGGACAGGCCAAATTCAGTAATGACTAAAAAGGGTAAGTTTTTCGAACCTTTCCAGAAAATCTAAACTATGAGCAAGGGACCGGTCAGTTATTTAAAGGGGGGTGTCAGAGGTTTTTGATGTTCACAATAATGACCTTCCTCTGAAGGCCATCTTATGTTTGCATGAACCTCCTACCCGTGAAGATCCGGGTTAGAATATATCTTCAGCAACCCATGTCTGCGACTATGCTTGTCATAAAAGGCGACTAACGAGGCCGGATGGTCAGGCTCGGTGACTTGGTTGATACATGTCAACGTATCCCAATTGCGTTGATCGATGCTCATGATGTTAATCACTTGAGTTTCTGGTCCAGGCTCGATTATTTACAGACTGCCGTCATATATCTGGAATATTGCTGAGTGCAGCGTTAAACAACAAACAAACCATGACCCTCCCCATGTCTTTGTTTATTTTTTCATGACCCTCCCTGAAAAGACAAATTACACAAGAACTTTATTTTTTATGTTCAATTTTTCATGCCCCTCCCCGAAACATGTTTATTTTTTATTACACTCTCCTACAGAATGTCATGTTTTCGTAACAATATATAATTGGTCCCTTAACGAACATTTTTCTTTAACGTTTCTTTATATCTTTTAAGCAGCAGAATCTCTGTACTTGTACATAGCAGGGGTAATTCAAAATTAACATACAGTAAACTCCGTTTATAACACGCTTGTAACGAACTGGCGGATATAACGAACTTATATTTTGGTACAGGTCATTCCCTGTATATATGCAGTATACAGTCAAGTCCCGTTAATCCGACATGGTTGGTTGCATATGATTATGTCGGATAAACGAGTATGCAGTTCGTGATCGAAAATCGGACAACTACACGATAAATAACGATACAAACACGTAATAAAAAATATAAAAGAAATATTCATATTGTTACGTTACATTATTAGCGGAATGTGTTTTCTAATCATGTAACTTCTAAAGCTCAACACGAAACAACTGATACATGCACTGCCCCCCACTGTACGAAAAACAGTGATGTGCATTGGGCCAGTTCAGCGGGCTGAAAGTGATGACAAACGCAACATGTTTCGTCATCGGATATTGGCGAATCCTCACTGTCACTGCCGTATAGTAGATTAATCGCACCGGATGGTCCCGCTGCTGGCTCGGTGGTACTTTTATGTTTCTTTTGAGATTGTTTAGCTGATGTATGTGACTTTGCTGGTCGTTTCTTGGTTGGTACTGGCTGTTTAGAAGTTGAACTTTTAACATAGTTTTTTTCTTGAATTTCTATCTCTGGTTCAGTTATGGCTTTGCCGCTAACGATCTTGTGCATAGATCTGCGTGGTTTTCTTTGCTTCTTCTGAATGACGGGAAGCTGGTCACCAAAGAATTGGGTTTGGTCAAAGTTAGTGACGAAAATTTCCTTCTCAACGTTTGGGTTGGTACGCGGGCTGTGTACGTCGTCAGTAGCTGCGACTTGTCTTCATCGTGTGATGCGGTGATAAAAGCAGCTGGTTGGAATGCAGATTTATCAATCATATCTGGCGAAAAGCGATAGATTCCTGACTTTCTGAATGGCGACTGCAAGTGACCAGGCGTTAAAGCAGCAGAATATGCCCTGTAGGCTACGGAGGCGATGTTATATCTGTTGACTGTGGTACTATCAGACTTCAACAGTTTGTGACATTCGGCATTGTAAATCTTTGTAAACGGGCCTAAACATCCCACGTCCATTGGCTGCAAAATATGACTTGTGTGAGCCGGGAGGAAAAACATCACAATATTGTGATCTTTAGCCCAGTCTATCAGAGACGGAGAAATGTGCGACTTGTGGCCATCGTACAGAAGAAGCAAAGGTCTATTCGGCGTTGCTGGAGATACATATCGAAGGAAATACCTGTCCAAGTAATCTTGGAATATAACACCATGTGACCATCCCGATTCAAAAACAGTTCCGTCAGTTCCCGCTGTACAGCCTTCAAGTAATTCACTGCGCATTCTAGCACCCGCAAATACAAAGAAAGGTGGAATAAATGTGCCCAGGGCGTTTCAACTTCCCAAAAGTGTGACGACAGACGATCTCTCTGAATCTCGTAGGCCACTGACTTTCTTTAGCCAACAATTTTCGGTGCGACTTTGGACTGGTTGATTCCTTTCTCATCTACGTTATAAATTGCTTCTGGTCTTGATTGGAAACCGTATTTGTCCATAATCATGGCAAGTTCATCAAAATATTTGTTGATGCATTCCTCTGAACTAGCTTTGGCACGAAGTTCCGTGAGAGACTTGGCACTTCTAACTTTCAACTCCGGCCATCGCTCAAACAGACCACATAACCACTTGACAGATAATGGATGGGACAGGTCACGTTTTCCTAACTGACAAGCAAAGTTAGACCCTACATTGGACAACCTCCTTCCTGGTATATCCGTATCCGATGGATGCCATGTATGTTACATGGCCAACAAGTCTAGTTTCTTGCTCTGCATCATAAAATTTGAGTCGCACCTGACTTGACTGTGTTAACATCGATCTTGCCTATTATCCTGTCTCTCAGTGTTTGCTCGGGTACAGAGAAGTTTGGCCTACCTTTAGAATACAGTACCACAAACTTTTCAAACACGTGATCATACCCTATGACGTAATTTGTAGTATTTTGTTGCTAGTCACACCGGCGAAACAATGCCCTGTGACGTCAGGGGTCATCGAGTGTGCAGAAGCTCCTCCCAGTGAGCTATCATCTCTACACGTAATGTCATTGAATACGCCCTGCGGTGCTGAGAGTTTTGAGTATTTGTTTACTAATTATAGCCTGCGGAGGCGCATTTTAGAGCAAGCGCTAGTTTACGAAAGCACTTTTATTTTTTATATATTTTTATTTCGTTTTTCTCGTAATTCAAGTGGATAAAATGGTTATAAATGGGAACTATTATACATATATTATTTTTTCGGTTAATTAATTTTCATTATTATGCGCAAGAATGCAGTTTATTAGGGATATTATATTGGCGCTGAACACATCCAAATGTCGCCAGTGTTAGGGTAGGTTACCCCGAACTCTATCCTTAGCCCTTGGATCCCCTTAACGATAAATCACCCCTTTACGATCATTAGGGTTAGGTACCCGTTTAGTGGCTATTAGATTACCCGAAGTCTATCCTTAGCCCTTGGATCCCCTTTACGATCAATCACCCCTTTTACGGCCATTAGGGTTAGGTACTCGTTTAGTGGCCATTATAGATTATATAACGGCTCCTAATATTCTTTATACAAAAAACGTCGAGTAAAAAGGATGAAATGGTTTTGTGTCGAATATTTTGGCAACTGGAAACTGTCCTGGAACATTCACACAAGCCACTTTCACCGGCTACATTTTTTCAGTACTGATTCAAAAGCGAACTCACCGATGTGTCGTCACTAGTCATGCTTATTCCTCCCTCGTTCCTTACTATTATCCACATCATCCTTACAGTGTTCCCTACCACACTTTTCTGTCACAAAAATCAACCGACGAATTATTAAATACCATATCATTCATGCGTACTCGCGAGTTCGACGTCTGACGTCTGACGCCTGGAGCCGTTTTCAGTTCGCGGCATATCGGCTCATTCCTCTCCACTTGGTATCTTGTACATCACGGAATGGGACGAGTGTGCCAAATGGCATCGGGATCATTCGTAAGTGTCCGTAGACTAAGTCACGAGACACCATGCCTACCCGTAACCTTCGTAAGTGTCCGTCACCTATTCGACCCTTTTCGTTGAGTTCCGTACCGTCGTAGGCATGACTAGGTACATTTGCACTAAGTTTGACAGTGTGGACGTAGCTCAGTCGGTTAGCTCTCGGGCTAACAATCCGAAGGTCGCGGGTTCGCGTCCTACGGATTCTCACAAAAACTGGTTACTTGTCTTGAGACATGTGACCTACGGCAGAGATCGTCCTCACGAGAAGTTGTTTTACTGTATTCTAAAGGTGCTCCGATTGAGTCATTTCGGTAATTCGTTGCAAATTAGTAGTGTCGGAGTCGGAGTGCGAGAGAGTCGGATTAACGGGTCTAAAGGGCACTGATTTAATCGGTTCCCATCATTAGTATCGAATAAAGCCGATGGTCGGATTAACGAGACTTGACTGTATGTTAATAACGAACTGCATGTCAAAAGGAACTAAAATTATTGGTCCTTTTGAGTTCGTTATAGCCGTAGTTTAATGTGCAGTTTAAGTTTAAACAAAATCAGTAAATGACCTATCGTGTGACTGGATTATGTGGTCCATACGTTGATTGACAGACCGCCACGTCAGGCAGGATACTGCTGTGCGGCGACGAGCAACACACAAAGACTTACTTTAATCTAGAAATTGTGTGAGTGGCGGGTCTAATGGTATGGAAGGACATGTTCACCCTTTTCATGAACACCTGGTGTTATCAATGATTTTCAGTGATCTATTCTTGCATGTTCCCATGGGGTCACCATTCTGGGAAGCTAGCTCATGTGATGGCTGTGATGTAAGATGGACTGTACCAATCTAAACCCAACCCACACAGTTGGCGATATGCTGAATTTTAAGATGTCGGTCAGCTATAAACGGGCAGCCTTCTTCAAACCTAGCATCTTTAGTAAGAACTGGCCTGGTGTCACCTTCTGGGTGATGTTTCTGTCTCGCATAAATTCATTTCTTAACTGTTGAATAAAAAACAGTCATCCCCCAAACATTCTTTTCATATCTTTCTGTACCTAACCGTTTGATACACCATTCCCGATTAATGTGTGAATGCCCAATATTACAGTAACTGCATTGTCTTTCAGGGAGGACGATCAAGGCAGAAACATGAATCAAATATCAATGCAGAAAGATTTAAGCCCATCGTCTGGTATGTATCGTATGTCCATCTATGCACACAGACACATTTTTGTTCCAAATAATTGTATTCTGTTTGAAATTAATGTAAATGAAGTAATTTAAAGTAATTTAAAGGTAATGCATGAAAGAAATATTCAAATTCAAATAGCACAAACACGAGCTACCCCATTAATAGAATGAAGTGAAGTTAATTTTGTCTTGTTTTTTCAGGCCATGGAGAAGCATTCAACACACCCGCACAACCCCAGGTAATAATTTGGTCACAACTAATTTTTTGTTAAAGTACATCCTCTATAGAGCTTTAACTGAAACCTCTTTTTGAAATATAAACTTATACATCAAGCATTTCGTTTAGATTTTAATACACTCAACTCCAAAAGAAACGCGAATTTGAAGTGGTGAAAGTAACATGCTATAATTAAGAAAGTTTTCAACAGAAACAAGGCAAAATTGACAGGGTTATAGCAAGATCCTTCATGTCATGTCAGACATCATTTCGTTAATATGATTCAAGGTCACACTGACTTTCAAAAGTCTTTTTGAATCACATTCAGTAATGGGTATAGCCGCTGATTGGTCTGTTGTGAGACCCATAGTCATTCGGCCAGTTGTGGTTGCCCGTAGGAATATATCGTGTAGATGTGCCGTCACTGATCTTATCTATCTGACGTAGCACGCGGTCGTCCGCTTCTTTGACGATTACCTGTTTTGTTGGTCAACTGATGACGTTCCTGAAGCACGTAAATTGTGGAATAATGGGCACCAAGGTGTCTGGCAACTCGGGGCATACTTCATCCAGCTGTAATAAGACCAATTGAGACCCGTGTGTTAGGGGTATGTTGTGTTTGTGTCAAACCTAAAATTAAAATACAAAACCAACAGGTATTACTTGAGTTTTAATGTTAGTTTGTTGTTTAAAGCCGCACTCAACAATGTTCCAGCTATATGACGGAGGTCTGTAAATAATTGATATTCATAGCATCGGTCCAAGCAATTGGTTTTCGTTGACATGCTTCAACCAACTCAACCTATCTGACCACCCAATTCCTTTAGTCGCTACTGGCACCCATACCAAAAGATGAAACAACTTATGGCCGTTACTTAGCCAATTGTTTTCAAAAGTAGTAGCGTATTTCGGTCAAGTTTGATTAAAATCATTATAGTTATTGTACGTCTTTCTTCCGTATTAATGCTGACAATATATATGAATATCAACGCTGTTGTCAGTCTTTCTTGACGTTTTACACTGTTGATAACATATCCAGGTGAGCTACAGTGCACTGGCACTATTTTGTAGAAAACATTTTGAGCAACGTTCCTCAGTGTAAGGCAACACTCCGCATAGTTGAAGCGATGGTTATTGTTCACTCAGCTTGTTCCTTGATTGTCTTTTCACATAAAAAACATTTGCTTGATACATAATAATGCCTTGTTGACTGTGCTCAAACATCTAAGATTTCACCTGGCCATTGCGAAAGTTACTTCTTTTTTTCAGAGTAGACAACATGACAGCGGCTTGGAGGCTTCTGAAACACAACAGAATGAAAAACCAACATCAAGCTTGGATCTGGATAAAACTGACTCCTCCCCAAAGACAGATGATAAGAATGATGATGGACAAAGTTATTCATTCCCCAAACTCAGCATTTCAAAAATACAAATTAACATCAAAGACAGAGGAAAGAAAGCAGAAGAGATTATTTCAAACATTACACAGTCAAGGGAAAAAAGTACACATGGAGGAGAAACAACTAGAAAGAAGAGAAAAGACACGGATGGAACAATAAATCCACAAGTTCTGACATCTGATGTAGGTGATCCTGGTATCTCTGAATCACAATCCACAGGAAGGGACAACAGTGAAGTTGGAACAGTCACCAACAGTCCACTTCCTGGTACATCTCGGCAGTCAGTTATGGATCCCGCAGATGATAATCAGAATTTATCCAAGACAACATTGACAGAGCTTTCTTTAATACAAAGAGTGTCTGACAGCTTAAAAAAACATGAATCTGGCTTTCATGTTAAGGTGTTTGAGATCATAACACCCACAGTGAGTCAAATGTTGCGTGCCATCGAGTCAATCACAAAACCCAGACAATTAAGGCATGTTAATCAAACAAGAAGTTATATGATTTTCTTTTACAGAGACAAGGGTGGTCCAGAAATATTTGTTGCTGGATCGGGAATGGCTTACACATACGTTGATCAGAGAAGTTGTCCAGAATTTCCAAGGAAGATAGCACGTAGACTATTGGAACCAACAACGATTCAGCTGGATACAAGAAACGTGACAGGAGACACATCACAAGTCAGGAAACAATACATTCCTGACAAAGGAGGAACCATCAACGTTTGGGACATCATAGAAGTGGTTGTTCACAAGTACATTGCCAAACCGAAAGACATGGCATCCATCCTGCAGTTCTTCCAAAAAAGGCCAAGCAAAAAGCCATCAATTGCTATTAAAAAAGTGTCTGTCGAGGTAATCACAAGATTCCCTGACATTTTAGACATACAGAAAATTATTTCTCACTTTGCAACTATTGACAGAAATGAGCCTACATACTTGTTTGGTACCAGTCAAAACAAAGAAGAAGATGACAAAACATTTGCAATGTTTGACTTGATGCAGGAAGAACACAACAAGGAGAAAATCAAGACGCTGCAGGAAAACATGCACAGAAGAATTGACAGATATATCGAGAACCAATCTGAAGATGATATCCAACTCTCCTGTGATGATCTTGATCTCTGGCTAAGGACAAGCGAATGTAGACTTTTCCTTGAAACAACATCAAAGTGGAAACCCATAAAAAAATGGAAGGAATGTCTACCAAATTTCAGAGATGTATTAAAGGCCTTAAAGGAACGCAACCAGTTAATTTCTGAGAAATTGCTGTCTAGTGACGTAAAGATGTCCCTTCATGATGATGCTGGAAAGACAATGAAGAAAAAACAGCCTATAACCAACTTCATTCAATCGCATTTCGCATCCTCCGATTCAAAACCTTACTACTTTTGGTGTGGGAAATGGCTGAAAATAAAAGCGGAATATTTCCGAATGCTGGATGACAGTTTCATGTCTATCATGAAAGAGCAAACAATAGACTCCACAGACATAATGCCATTGCCATGGGTTTATTCACACGCCAAGAAAACATCTGAGAGCAAGAAAGCCGAGGAAACATCTAAGAGCAAGAAAGCCAAGGAAACATCTAAGGGCAAGAAAGCCGAGGAAACATCTAAGGGCAAGAAAGCCGAGGAATCATCTGAGAGCAAGAAAGCCGAGGAAACATCTAAGGGCAAGAAAGCCGAGGAAACATCTAAGGGCAAGAAAGCCGAGGAAACATCTAAGGGCAAGAAAGCCAAGGAAACATCTAAGGGCAAGAAAGCCGAGGAATCATCTGAGAGCAAGAAAGCCGAGGAAACATCTAAGGGCAAGAAAGCCGAGGAAACATCTAAGGGCAAGAAAGCCGAGGAAACATCTGAGAGCAAGAAAGCCGAGGAAACATCTAAGGGAAATAAAGCCGAGGAAACATCTAAGGGCAAGAAAGCCGAGGAAACATCTAAGGGCAAGAAAGCCGAGGAAACATCTAAGGGCAAGAAAGCCGAGGAATCATCTGAGAGCAAGAAAGCCGAGGAAACATCTAAGGGCAAGAAAGCCGAGGAAACATCTAAGGGCAAGAAAGCCGAGGAAACATCTAAGGGCAAGAAAGCCGAGGAAACATCTAAGGGCAAGAAAGCCGAGGAATCATCTGAGAGCAAGAAAGCCGAGGAAACATCTAAGGGCAAGAAAGCCGAGGAAACATCTAAGGGCAAGAAAGCCGAGGAAACATCTGAGAGCAAGAAAGCCGAGGAAACATCTAAGGGAAAGAAAGCCGAGGAAACATCTAAGGGCAAGAAAGCCGAGGAAACATCTAAGGGCAAGAAAGCCGAGGAAACATCTAAGGGAAAGAAAGCCGAGGAAACATCTAAGGGCAAGAAAGCTGAGGAAACATCTAAGGGCAAGAAAGCTGAGGAAACATCTAAGGGCAAGAAAGCCGAGGAAACATCTAAGGGCAAGAAAGTGAAAACAAAAATATTTGCACTGGATACCCTTTGTCAGTTTCTGAGTGCTCTTCTGCCTGACCAGAAAATTAAGTCAGAGGACATGGAGGTGCTCTTGAAATCTGTTGATGGAGTTGAAGTTGAAAAGAATGAAGCTGGCATATTGTGTACATATAATCAAAGAGAATATGAAACAAAAGACCAGTTGAAATCATTTGTGCAGTTATTTCTCACAATGAACACCAGTCTGACAGAAGGTATGTACAATGACTCGTACATCCTTTTGGACAAAATCATCAGCACGACAGGAAAGACATCACAGACTGGGTTCCTTGTTGGAGACCGAATATGTATGAAACACATAGAAATGTTTGATATAATTATGTACAATCAGACACACACGTACATTATCCACGTCAAGGAAGGGTTTGACCATAACACAAGAGTTGTTGCATCACAGATTCGAAACTCTGCAGATATCCTCTTTAGGGCACTGACAAGTCACATGACCAAAACTGCTCTTGAAAAAATGTGGGAAACCTTCACTAGAGAGCGGCAAAATCCATCAGGTTCAAAATCACAACCCACTATTGATACGCTCGGAGAGAAAGAGGGAATGAAGAAGAATTATCAAGCAATGAAATCAAAGCTAGACGAGATGACAAAAGGGGGATTCATCAACCTCTTTAAAAAAAGGGAGATTGTGTATGTTTTGGCAGTACGTGACAAAGGTGAAGACAGGACATTTGAGATTGGTGATGCATTGGAGACACAGCTACAGAGAAAATATCCAGATAGGTGTGAGACGATATTACATCTCCTTGAGGAAAAAATGTTTATACAGAAGGCAAACAGTCATTATGTTGTCCCAGACAAGTTTAGACTTGTGACTAGTAAAGACCAATTTGTCAGAAACATGATGGACGATACCCCTGATGAAGAAGACAACCGACTGGCCAACGAGGAGAAAAGAGATGATGTCGATAGAATCGTTTCCCCGACAGCTTCACGCACTGGAAGGCAAAGTGCAAGTGGTAATTTGACCACAGGTTTTGATAAACTTGAACCTCTCGTCAAATATACGGGTCATGCCTCAATATCTGCTGAAAGTCCAGAAAGAAGACTTACTGGGACAGAGGAAGCTAGTCATAGAATCTCAGTCTTGGAATCATGTGCTGATGATTCCTCTGAATCGGGGCTGACCAATACAGAAATTAGAATGGAAGAAGGTTCCTCTGAAGAGGTTACTCACTCAGATGTGAGTGAATTAGACCCAACAGAGAACATTAAATCGCCTGCAGACTCAGCCATCAGTCAAGTATCATACAACAAAGCTGATGGACTTCTCTGGGGGGAGGTATATAAGATTCTCATGGATCAGCTTCCGCATACCAGATCCTCCATTGTTAAGTTAGACATCTTAAGTCTCTTTAGTCATTTCCGAAAATATCAGATTGGGGAAAAAAGGTTCCAGCTCAAGGTTTGCTTTGTTCCTAAGTCCACCAAAACTTTCAGTAAAGAACTCAAAGGATTTCTAGAACGGGGATCGTTAAAAAAATGACAATCTACTTGCTGAGAATAAATTTCAAGTTACATGATGTAACAATGATACAGTGTGACTATCATCGACCAATGACCTCAAGTCTCTGATTATGTCCAAATTTATTGATTCTGACCCAGTGTACATTGTAAATTGAGAATCAATGGTACATTTCATAGATAAGTCACTGCAATGAAACTGTGACGCGTTTCAAATGAGAGCCTGGAAGTGGCTTACTGTGACAGAATCTTCCTGAAACATTCCTTGATAACAGCACATGAATGGACAGACGGATGCCAACAGTTTCCACTTTGCACAGAGTTCAATTATGTTCTTATAATTGTTTCTTAAAGAGTTGGTAGATCAGTTTTTCCCAATATGATAATTTTAATATGCTGTTAAGAATTATTTTCATAAAAAGAGAACTTATGGTATTCATTCTTATGTTCAAGGACCGACCATTTGATATTCTGGGTGGTGGTGGAGGGGGTTGAGATATTGTACTGAGACCAGATACTTTCAGCTGCAGCTGTAAAACCAGATATTTAAAAAAAATTAATACTATGAGCCAAAATATATTTATTTTCGAAAAAACACATTTCAACAATGTAATTTTTGCAGCAATTTCTTTCTTCCCAACAATATGGAGTATAATTAATTCTTTCAATAATTTTCAGAGGGACAGCTCACACAACCCCCCCCCCCCCCCCCTCCCCCGCGAAAATGGTTGGCCCTAAAAAATCAGATAACTCTGACTATGAACATGCTTTGTTTAGACAAGATCTTATGCCTTTAATGTTGTCACTGCATTTTGATACATGTATTTACAAAAAGTTTTGGAATCGAATATCACATGTAGATAGCTTGGAGTGTTGGATTATCCAACTTTATTCTTTTAAGATCTTGATTTGTTTTCATAATTGGTGTGAAGGGACATTTCCACATTAAAAAGTAGGCTTATGAAGCAAATATACACGAACACAAGGTAACTGGTACTTTTTGTATGGATCATGTTGTTAGCACAAAAACAAAAAACCTTCTGAATTAATGTGTACTGCTGTTTAATTGGGTTGAAGAAAGTACCCAGACTTTCTACAGATTATTTTTCTTAGAAATGAATTCATAATTTCAAGATTATGCCAAGAATATTGTTTTTGTTACATGAGATATGGTGAAGTGTCTGGTTATTTTCATTCCCTATCACAGCCATTTGAAAGGGAGAGAAAAGTGTACTATTTGGACTGAGTTTACACAGTTTAAATGATTTATTGACAAGTAAAGCCTTATATCAACCTCATCATAATAATATTTTTTTACTATTTTAAGTTAAGAGTATAAGGTGAAGAAAGTTCACTGGTAATGTCCCATAGCCTTTTTCACTGATGGACCGCCTCCGTGGTCTAGTGGTAGAGCGTCTGCCCGGAGAGCGGAAGGTCCGGGGTTCGATCCCAGGCCGTGTCATGCCAAAAGATGGTACTTGTTGTTACCCTGTCTTGCACTCGGCATTAAAGGGATAAAACAAGGACTGGTCAGCTCTGAGTCAGTATAATGTGTCCGAGTAGGGTATTCATGTTAAATTGCGGCATGGCATCAGTCCAGACTAGCATGCGCACGCACGCACACACACGTCGCTATATAAGTGCAATAATCTTGGATGCGACGTTAAACTCCATTTCACCTCACCTTTTCACTGATGATTGTAAGAGTTATTTCCCCAAAAAATTTAAAGATAAAGATGGACAACTTTTTGTGTGTGCACGGACATAAAAGGGTATTTGGCAATGTATTAACTCAAATAGCATCAAACGCATAAAGAAATAAACATTGCACTCCACTCGCCAATTCATCTGGTGAAATGAGAACACTTTGTTAACAGTTTACTCTGACACTCAAGACTGACCATAATTCCCTGGCTTGTGTATGGTCTTCCATACAAGCCTGTGAAATAATGACGATGCAAGGTTACAGGTGTAACAATGGCCTTCTTTTGGCTTATAAAAACCCAACTTAACAAACAAAGGGTATTGAATCACTTTTATATACATCGATAACGACTTATTGCATGTGTCTTTAAGAATAAGTAGTTGCAAGGATAAATATGTTAACAATGACCATTGTCATCTTTACCTGCATAAACTGTAAAAGTACAGCAGGAAGCCATGAAATCCTCTCTGAAGGCATGTAACCTGAAGCAAATTTGAGAATTAAATGTTCAAATTTATATATTCAAATATGAAGCTGCACTTTCAGTCTAGTGAGTGAGTGAGTGAGTGAGTGAGTGAGTGAGTGAGTGAGTGAGAGTGAGCGTGTATAGTTTTATGCCGTTTTAGCAATATTTCAGCAATACAGACAGTAATGAGTTGGGTTTAATGCCGCTTTTAACAGTATTCCAGTTATATCACAGCGTGTCAGCTTTATGTGGGAGGAAAGCCCGAAGTGATGCAGGTCTCAGACGTTTACCACTTCGGTGAAACCCCATGAGCACGGGTATGGTGCTGACAAACCTAGAAACATAATCGGGGTGAACCGGGATTCGAATCCACAGGGCAACAGTAATATGCTTCACACATTGTGCCCATGTATGGAATCGAACCCGGGTCTTAGGCATGACGAGCAATTGCTTGAACCGCTAGGCCACCCCACTATGTTATTCAAGTTTGGATTCATTGTTGTGCCATTCATGTTGCATTATTCATGTCTCTTTTATGTTATTGGGTCTCATATCTTAATGCTTGTGCATATATTCTTTGAATATGTTCATTTACAGATGCTATGAATTTTATGTCCAAGATTGGGATGAAATTTATTGATTTGTATAGTATCATTTTATATGTATAATAGTTTCTTAAATATGTTTATTATTTTGTGATACTAGTAGTCTTAAAAGGGATGGCTCAAAAGGGACATTTTCATAAAAGATAACTGCATCATTGAAAATATCATGTCTCTTCTGACAGAATCAGGAGATTAACAGGAAGAAAAGATCAGTTCAGCCAAATAACCATGGTCTTCTGCTGAAGTGAACCCTTGTAATGCAAGGTGTCACTAATGTGTTTTGAGATATCATACTTCAAACTTTAAGGCCAGTCTCTCTTCAAACATGTCAAATGAAAAAATTGAAAATTGTCCTGTAAAAAGCATTGTTTCATCAACATTTTAACATAATATTCATGTATCCTCCACAAGTTTCTCATGAAACTTCCTGTGAATAATCAAATCTGTTCCAGATTCCGGCTTCAGAGCTTTTAGCAACATATTCTGTAATACTAGTTCTTACAATAAACTTTGGTACTTTTTGTCTGTCTTTCCTTGACTTGATAATAGTAAGTGAGTACGACTTGACGCCGCTTTTAGCAATTTTTTCAGCAATATCACAGTAGGGGACACCAGAAATGGGCTTCACACATTGTACTCATGTCGGGAATCGAACCCGGGTCTTTGGCGTGACGAGTGACCGCTTTAACCACAAGGCTACCCAACCGCCCCGACTTGATAGCAAGTGGATTTGAGTATAGACTTGCTGTACAAGTATGCTGAACCTTGACACAAACATCTCATATTTGAAACTACAAAACAATCAGACCAACTTGTGGATGCAGTATTTACAAATTAGCCCACAGACTTTATGGATTAGTGGATAAAACATCAACTTGGACAACACTGGACATGATTTGACTGAAGGTTATTGGATCTCAAACAGTAATGCCTGTCTTCTATTGATGAACATGAACCAGCCTTACCCAATAGTGTTATCTTGTTGAAACTGGTGGAGTAAAATGTCCTATGCTTGGCTTTTGGAAGCACTCACAAAATACTGTGTAGTGTGATTAACAAGTACCTGCTATTCATAATTGTAAAACAATAAACCTACACATTACTTGTGTTGGAAAACGTAGTCTTTTGTCCTACCTTATTGACTATCCATTTTCTATCATATTATACACCTGAAAAAAAGGTTCATCATCACCCTTCATTAAAGACAAGATATTTTATGGATGACAACTTTATTCTAATATGATGCGATGTTTTGGTATACATCCTTATACCAATGTCAGTCAGTGAGTGAGTAATATTTGATGCCGATTTTAGCAATATTCCAGCAATATCATGGTGGGGGACACCAGAAATGGGCTTCACACATTGTGCCCATGTAAGGAATCGAACCCGGGTCTTTGGCGTGATGAGCGATTGCTTTTACCACTAGGCTACCCGACCGACCCCTTTCCAATGTCAAGCAAGAGTAAATTAAGACAGCACAGTACAGGGTACAAAACAATAGAACACTCCAGCCATCATCTCTAATTAATCTTATCAGCACTGTATATTTGTACCCCATCGTGTAACAGTTGGCTTCTTTCTGTTATCAATTAACCTTCTTTCTGCTGTCACCATATCAACCAACCATTATCATATGTTGCTTATCCCTTTCATGCATACACTTATTTGGTTTTTGCTAATCCTAATTACATGCATATAACCCTGTACTGCATTGTCTTACTTCACTCTTGCTTGAAAGAAGTTGTCATACTTTAAAAAATCAAGTTTTTACTGTTACTTACCAAGTTCTAAAAATGCCATTCCAACACTTTAAGACTTTGTAATTTTCATATACCGTATTCGACGTTATAAGAGCGATATTTGCTAATATATTTCCTAGTGAACAATCCCAATTAGCACCCCTTCAGATTGATCAATATACACAAGACTTATTTACTATTGTATAATATGTGTGTTATATGCATCCTTAATTATGGGAAATTAAATTCTGGAAAAATATATCTGTCATATATAAACATTTCAAGCTGTCAGCATAAACCACCAAATTTACCATCTTTCAACTCTGTTGTATTTCACCAAAATAATATTCTAATAAGAGCCCCTTATTTCTAATTTTGATAGCGCCCTGGGCGCTTATTATGTCAAATACGGTATCCCTAACTTTCATGCAGCATTTAAAATATCTACACCTGAAGTTGATCTCATATTGTTAGGTCTCTAAATGAAAGTTATCCCTGCTGAAAAGTAGGTACTAAAAGGGTCATGAAAAATTGACATTGAACAGTTACAAAACACATCATTAGAACAGTTGATTCCACTTTCTGTATTTCAATACAAGTAAACAAACATAAAAGTTAAAGTTGGCAGTGCAATGGCAGGAAAAGACATTGATGACAAAAATAGAACAGATGAAATCAAGGGAATGTTTACGAACATATGAACTGTTATTGAAGAGTGAGTGAGTGAGTGAGTGAGTTGTGTTTAATGCCGCTTTTAACAGTATTCCAGTCAGGGCGTGTCAGCTTATAATGTGGGAGGAAAGCCCCAAGTGATGCATGTCTTAGACGTTTACCACTTCGGTGAAACCCACAAGCACGGTTATGGTGCTGACAAACCTAAAAACATAATCGGGGCGAACCGGGATTCGAACCCACAATCATAGGTTTCCGGCGTGCCCAAGAGACGCAACTCTGCACAGCGAATCGCGGCTCCTTAGACGACTGGGCCACCCGTGCCCCCTTTATTGAAGAGAAACCAAACAGAAATAATAAACTTCAAGACATATGCATTTCTTACCTTCCTAACATTGGCAATATCAAATATGCAACTGAAAAAAAGATAAGGACCACCAGATTTTTTTTATATTACTATAGTTACATGACAGATTAACTTCAGTGACATGAAACAAGCAGGCGGTCCCATCTATTTTGGAGTAGTATTTATTTGTGAGTGGGTTTGGTTTCATAACATTCAGCAACATCCAAGTAATGATTTGTTTGTTCGTTGTTTAACGCCGCACTCAGCAATATTCCAGTAATATGACGACGGTCAGTAAATGATCCAATCTGAACCAGACAATCCTGTGAGTGACATCATGAGCATTGATCCACGCAATTGGGATGAGATGACATGCATCAACCAAGTCAGTTAGCCTGACCACCCGATCTTACAAGCATAGTCGCCTTTTACGTCAAGAATAGGTTGCTGAAAACCTATTCTACCCCGGATCTTCATTGGTCTCCCAGTAATGAAATTGTGGGGGCAGCGTTTCAAAGTGGTTCATTTTCTAGGACACTGACTGTTCCTCATCCAAAATGTCTTGATAGATATTTTCCAAATTTCGGTAGAGATATAGAAGAATATCCTATCAAATATTGATAAAATCCTAAAACTGACCTAAATCCATAGATCTCTCCAGCAAAATCCACAGCAGGACACCAGAAATTGGCTTCATTCCTTTTCCCATGGGGGGAATCCAAACCATAGTCTTTACATGACAAGTATAACCTTAAACCACTGGGCCAATATATTTGTGTACACGGACTGTTTTATGCCATTACAAACAAACCAATATGTGTACCAAATCTAATAAGACTTGACAAGGAGTAACATTATAGATAACAACTTCGTTATTATACATACTTGTTTCAGGGCTACTTCTTGTCCCTCATCAGGGAAAGAAGTGGTACAGAGGTGAGCTGAAATGGAGTTTAACTTCGCATTCAAGATTATTGCACTTATATAGCGTCGTGCATGCACATGAGTGCTGTGTGTGCTTGTACACGTCTAGACAAATGCCGATTTTATAGTGCTAGCCCACTGAGATAGCAAGCAGCAGTTTAACGTGAATACCCCTATCACACACAGAAAACTGACTCCGAGCCGACTTTGTTTTAGCCCCTTAATGCAGAGCACGTTTTTTGTGTATGACACGGCAGGGGATCGTAACCCCGACCTTCCACGCTCTGGGCAGACGCTCTACTACTGGACCATGGAGGCGGTCAGAAGTAGCCGTAAGAAATTGTGTATGTATAAAAAAGAAGTTGTTACCCATAGTACTTCTCATTATGTTTACATCCAACATCTTATACAGACTAATAAGACTTGACTTGGCGATACATTCGGCAATAACAATGCCCAGTAAAGAGCGAGATTATCAGGGCTATGGCTGGGTTTATACTATTTATCATGGCGTCCTTCACCAAGAACTTTACATCAATGAAACTAACAGCTTCATAAGCTGGGCCTACAATAAATAGTTCAGAATGTAAATTATACCGACACACTAGGAAAACATATAGAGCAATTTGGGAAATGATTTTCAGCGAACTGACAGAAAACAAAGAAATTGGTATGTGGCAGTGAGGCCTGAAGGCATGCAACATTGCAATAATGTCTGAGTTTGAACCCTAATTCACGCTGTCATACCTTGACGTAAGCTTTCAGTCACTGGTTACTTATCAAGAATCAAAATCCATTACCGTATTCGACGTAATAAGCGCCCAGGGCGCTCTCGAAATTAGAAATAGGTGGCTCTTATTAGAATATTATTTTGGTGAAAAAAAACAGAGTTGAAAGATAAATTTCGTGGTTTATGCTGACAGCCTGAAGTGTTTATGTACGACAGATATATTTTTCCAGAATTTAATTGCCCATAATTAAGGGTGCATATAACACACGAGTGCGTATTATACACGAATAAATAAGTCTTGTGTACATTGATCAATCGGAAGGGGTGCTAATTTGGATTGTTCACTAGCCAATATATTAGCAAATATCGCCGTGGGCGCTTATTAGAGGGGGGCGCTTATTACGTCGAATACGGTATGTGTTTTCAAAGTGTTTCACATAGTACTGTGGCATGCACAAGGCATTAGCTTCCAGTATGTACAATATACACAGACATGACTTCATCCATACAGGCACAGTATGATAAGCACTTTATATGCTGGAATCATTTCTTGTCGTCTTCTTACAATCTCCAGATCAATACTACTCCACTTTTGATAAGAGGTATTTCTTGTCATCAATGAGGCACCACACTGACAACTCAGTTTTCAAATTATCGCCCAGAAGGCTTCTCTGCTTTACTATCGTGTTTGTTGAGATTCTCGCAGACCATCTTAGTTTGTCACAGAGGTAATCATTGCGGTACTCCACTTCTGCAACTGTAGCTGATCTTGTCCATGAGTAAACCGTCAATACCCCTTAAACATGCTCCACTTTGGTAACAGTCTTGCTCGAGTCAATTTCAACAATTTGATCAAATTCAGCAATCGACAATGACAATCTGCAGGTCAATCTCTGTCCATCATCATAACATTAAGAATAGTCTGTGGAAGTCTATTGAAGAAGACAAACTGTTACAAAATAACATTTTTCTGATCAGGCACTATTTGAATACATTGAACATTTAAGGCTGAGAGCGGAAGACACATATATCACATGAACAGAGCATCATATTGCCTAGCACCTCGGGTCATTGAACCCTCAATAGAACCCACATAGCCTTCTTTTGGGCCTCTCAGGTTCCTGGCCAAACACAGGGAGCGGATCCAGTAGCCTGTCGCTAGTCACATACTCCAAAGCTTGGCATTAATCACCATTTCCAGAATCTCTGTTCACTTGGTATAATCAAGGTGGCGAGGATATACTTAGGCGATATGTCGTCCCAGAAGCAAGCTGATGGCCGAGAAGAATCTGGAGTGAAGAGAGCTACTTCAGCCATACAACATGATGTTTATGTACCTGTTACAGTACTCCGCACCAACTAATGGTACTATGACAAGACTTCCAGCCTAGCACATAGCGAAGGAGTGAAGAGCGCATCTCCACCTATACCTATATCACGGTCTGTTTTGCATGGGAAGTACCTGTTCCTTGGTAGTGTCTAGTTTTCATCAGACCAAGATCCAGCCTAAATAAGACTGAAGGCCAGGTTCGAGGACCACTTCATATGACAAGTAGGAAGCTGTTTTCCTGTTCTTTTCAATGTGTGTTCAAACCAGACAATCCCATCTCATAGTCTTTCTCCTTTGTTTGTTCAATATATGAAGACTGAAGGTAAGCAGATCACTGAATACAGAGGACAACCGTTTGGCACCTTACATTCAGATCAACAGTTCTGTAAATCTTAACAATGGTGTCTGGCACTTTACATAGGACACAGGTCTTCTCAAAAGTTTTTCTTTAATCTTCTGTTCTCTTCTCTCAGTCTTTCAACTTCAGCTACCAGGTCCTGATTCACCGAGTGATGCTCCAACATGGCAAGCACCTCCGTCTAAAACAAGCCACATAATACTTTACCATCAGGTAGTGTAATGAGTCTCACCTGTGTAAAAAGATATATTAAAAAAAAAGGTTCATACAGTTGTTGAACACTAAAATTCAAGGCCCTTTCAAGGATTTTTAACTGTCATTGTCAAGGCTTTTGCAGTTGGGCTATTAGCCTTAGTCTGTCAATATTTGTTTTAAATTCAGCATACTATATATTAGTTGTAAGACCAAAAAGCAGTATGCACATCAGTATATGTCACTTTGAACAAATTCAAGGTTTTTCAAGGTAGTTTGCTGATTTTCAAGGTTTTTCAAGGTAGTTTGCTCATTTTCAAGGCTTTTCAAGATTGACACAAAAAACCAAGACTTTTGAAGAGGATCTTAAAATTCTAGGGCTTTTTAAGGCTGTATGAACCTTGCACCCATCTGACATATTATCGCGGTATCGGTAAATCTTGTAATCCACACCCTGACGATGTCCCTTGACCCAAGTTAGGTCGATGGATACTGATTATGCAAAATCCAAAACAGGGAGGACATATTCCACACCTATCACACCACAAAACAGTGATACTGCGATAAAATAGAGTTGCCCGCCCTTGAGTCGCTAGTGACAGGTTTTTTGTTGACCCAACTCTAATAAGAAAATCAGCATCGATCAATCCTAAATGATGTGTCATAAAGGTTGAACAAATAACAAGTAACATTTTGGGTACAACATATCTATAGGTTTGTAAGCATGCTCCATTACCATCCATCATTAATTAACTACCGCAATAATTATCAACACAAAGCTATTTCTCAGTTTAACAAAATAACAAAATTTTGTAAATATTTCATAAAAATCCATTTCTTATAAAATTGTAGAATTTTCCTATTCGGAATATTCTATAAGTAATACGTTACCACTGTTATACCGAGGCTGTTGTCTCCCACAACTGCTGCTATAGCGAAATCTACCACAGAGATCTCAATTACCTCATGCAGCACGTGCGTAGCCACCTAGCTGCCATGTGACACCCTTCACTCTTGTCTCCTGCGAGAGCAAGTGCTCGGGGGACGGACGGGCGGGCAGCAGCCCAGTGGTAACGTATTACTTATAGAATATTCCGAATAGGAAAATTCTACAAATTACATTAAGTAATACGTTACCACTGTTATACCGAGGCTGACTACCACAGTAGGCGGTGGGGAGCACCTACAACCCGAATCCTGACTGCTAGCGTTCCTTCCGACCAGCGGAAGTAAACACCAAGGCGGAAGCACTCGATGCGCATGCACCTAGCTAGGCGTTACCCTATAGGAATACCAAAGCACTGTCAAGCGCATACCGTAAGGCTCAATCGTCAATGCCAAAACGATTGGTGACTCCAAACGGCCCCACTGGATAGGTATTTCATCGCCGCAGCGGATGAGAACACTGTATCCGCGTGAGCTAAATCTTAGATCAGGTTAAACAGTCGAAAAGAGGGAAATTAATTTCCTTCAGACCGTATATCCCAGAGCAAGCCTACTTAAAGTATGCATTAGGCGCGTGACCTAATTCCAGTATTCGTAAGCATGTATCGCAAGGTTGGAATACACGACAGACAATTAAATGCATAATTGTCAAAATACAAATAAGGACAAAACACACAAAAAGCCGCCTCACCTGTGGTGTGAGTGCGCTGGTTTGCAGGACCCCCACTCCTGTACCCACGGCGTGGGAACATTGGAGACGACCCAGATTGACCACCGTGCAAGGACTGACGACTGCGGAGTTTGGAATTGCGCTGGACACACCCCCTAGATGACCGCTTGTGCCGCGATCAGCGGCCCAAGACGGTGCACCCCCTCCACGTCTTCATCAGAAACCTTTCTGAGGTAATGATTGGCAAAAACCGAGTCAGAACGCCAGTAACAACCTCGTAATATTCTGTGAACAGAGATATTCGAGTGTAGGGCAAATGTTGCCGCTAGCGCCCTGATCTCGTGCGGGTTTGACCCCGCTACCGGTAACCCCCGAGACCGGTACGCCAGATTGATGACAGAACGAAGCCACAACGCAATCGAGTTGCGAGTTATGTCAACCGTGCGATTAGGGTTACACGATATGAACAGACGGTCACGCCCTTGTCTACGTTCATTCGAAGCCTTAAGATAATACTTAAGGGCCCTAACCGGACACAGCGCTCTGTCCTCAGTATCAGCAGGATGTAATATTTCTTTGAGGGATCTTACAGTGAATTCTCTCTCCGTTTGCCCAACTCTCTGATTCTTGGCGACGAAGCCCATGAGCAGGCCCAGGCGGACCGCTCCTTCGTCACCCCTATCGAATCGTACCTTGGCGACATCGAGTGCATGAATTTCGGATACACGTGCCGCCGTGGCAAAGGAGAGGAGAAATGCTGTTTTCCAAGTCACATGCCGGAACGAAGCACTATGCAAGGGTTCATACGGAGCTTCCGTGAGTGATTGCAACACTAGGGAAAGATCCCAGGCCGGTGCCCGAAGGCGGCCCTTCTTAAGATCGTGCTGTTTGAAACCCTTGATAATACCCCGTATCACCGGCTCTTTGGAGAGACTGGTACCCATAGCAACGTCCCGTACCGTAGCAACGGACGAGACATAGTTGGCAATGGAACCCCCGGAGAGTTTCCGGGTCTCTCGCAAGTGAGACATGAAACGAGCAATATCCTGCACAGATACCTTATCTGGCGAATGAATGTGATGTTTACAACACCACTTCGTGAAAATAACCCAACGTGCATTATACACCTTCTGGGTAGAATCACGATGCATACTAACGTATGCCCGAGACGCCCGGCGAGAAAAACCTTTACTCCTCAGACGCTCGGTGACAACATCCACGCGTGCAGATTGAACTGCCCTGCGTTTGGATGAAGCTGACGGGTGTGAGGGTGGATCAAGAGATCCGGTCTCACAGGCAGTGGGAGTGGCGACTGCGTGACCTGGGTCAGCAAGTCGGGGTACCACGATCTGTTCGGCCACATGGGCGCGATCAGTAACATTCGACAGCGAACTCCTCGAAGCCGGCTTAGAATGTGTGGTATCAACGCTGTCGGCGGGTAAGCATAAGCGTCCAAGCCCGTCCAGTCTAACGCGAGAGCATCGTGATCGATGGCCCTCGGGTCCGGGACTGGTGATACAAACAACGGGAGTTGATTGTTGAACCGTGTTGCGAACAGGTCGACCATCGGACGACCCAAACGTTCGCACAGCCACTGAAACACCACTGGGTTCAGCATCCACTCTGTGGGGCTCGGATCCTGAGGCCTCGATAGAGCATCGGCCAGTACGTTCCGCACACCTGGGATGTGACGGGCGCGTATCTGGCACGGGACACTGTCCACCAGAGCGTAAAACTCGAACGTGAGATCGAGTAGCGAGTGACTGTGGGTTCCCCCCAGTTTGTTCACATAGGACACTACCGTCGTGTTGTCGGTCGCCAGCATGAGCCGGGCGTCGACGAGACGATGCTTCCAGTGATTGACTGCGTTGATCACTGCCTTGAACTCGAGACAATTGATGTGAAGACCTAGTTCGTCTACGCACCACAGCCCCGAGCTCACCTCCCCCTCTAGATGGGCGCCCCAGCCCACTAGAGAGGCGTCTGTATACAGGTTCAACGTGGCCCGGTAGGGCCGCATAGAGACTCCTGATAAGACATTGTAAGGGAGCGTCCACCACTCCAGATGCGGTCGGAGCCGATCCGGGAGGGCGACGGTCGCACTGTTCACCTCCGTTGCTAACAACTGGATTAAAAACCGTTGCAGCGGGCGGAGTTGGAGACGACCCCGTTCGGTGCAGTCCTGGGCTGATACAAGTAGCCCTAACAGCTGTTCCCAAAAGTGAACAGTCTGTTGCACCGCTAAGACTTTGGCAATCATCGCCTGAATTTTGTGCCACCGGTCTGGGGGGACAAATAGGCGATGGGACACCGTGTTGAACCGACCTCCGATGAACTGCAAGTTCTGAGAAGGGGTTAACTCGCTCTTGGGGAGATTGACAATCCACCCCAATTGCTCCAAGAGCCGACGTGCGAAAACGAGATGGCGTGACAGGGTGTCCGACATTCGATTTGCTACTAGCGAGTCGTCCAGGTACGCGAAGTACCGGACACCCCTCCGGTGGAGGAACCCCACTATGGGGGTGGTTAACCGGGTGAACAGCCAGGGAGCGGATGAAAGACCGAATGGGAGTACAACCCACTCGTAGTGCCTGCCTTGAAAGACAAACCTGAGATACTTCTGATGATCCGAGTGAATCGGAACATGCAGATAAGCATCCTTCAGGTCGATCGAAGCTAGCCAGTCGGCCGGCATGATCAGTGCTTTCAGGTCCGTCAAGCTCAACATTCTGAACTTGGGCGGTTTGCGCAGGTAGAACTCGTTGAACGATTTCAAGTTGTGAATCATTCTGAGTTCGGCACTGTCCTTCTTGGGAACGAGAAATATCCTGGAGTAAAACCCCGGTGTTATTTCTGGTAGAGCTAACTCCCGAACTGCCCTCTTCTCCACCAACCTGCCGATGGCATCGGCGAGGAAGGGAAGATCGGTTTCCGAATAGAAACCTGCCGACGGGGCAACGGTGAGCGGCGGATTCGCTATGAGATCGAGCCGATAGCCGTACCGAATCGTGTTGACCACCCACGGGTCGTCGAACACTTGTTCCCAATTCTCCCAGTAAGTCTGGAGTCTGGCTCCCACTGGGGAAAGAGAGGGGGGCCGGACGGGCTGCGGCAGGCGCAACTGTCCAGGGCCAAGTGACTCGGGTTCGCCTACGGGCCAACCGAAGTTGGCGCTGTCGGCATACGAACCCCTCCAATGAGAGTCACCTGGAGGGGCCCTTGCCGTCCTTAGACGACTTGGGCTTCCCCCAGTTCCCCTTCTTCCCGCGAAAGGGCTGCTGAGAACCCTTACCGGAGCCCTCAGAGCGGGGCTTCTTCCCGGAGGAAGAAGGACCCGACCCCTTAGGCCTGCCGGACGCAGCATCCTGGGGCGCGCTCCGCTTCGGAGCGGCACCCAGGCGCCTATGCAAGGACCCCACAAGATCCAGTGTGTGCCGAGAGGCCTCGGCAGACACAGCGGCCTGTTGTTCCTTCAGAACCCCAGGGATCTTGTTATTAAACAGGGTCCGAGCAGACCAAGGCTGCGAAAGGAGCACCTCCTGATTAGCAGCGTCCAACCCTGAAGCAACCAGATACGACTGGCGCCGAAGAAAATGGCACGTGCCGGAAACAAAGGCCGAAGCCCCGGCAACGTACTCCAGGGAAGCATTCAAACCGAGCAAGCAGTTGTAAATGCGCTGGTCTCGGTCCGTGGGAGAACCTTCGACCAGACTGGCCGCTGCAGCCAGGTATGTGTCTCCGTGAGACATTGCCAGCATGGAGTGTCGAGCGAGGGTGTCCAGCTGTTGCAAGGTACCTTGTGGTACCGTGGCAACCGGTGGGGCACGGACCCCCAAACGCTCCACATGGGCTTCCGCAGAAGGACCAGCCTCGGGAAAGGCAAGGTCATGTACTGGGAAAGACCCTTTTCTCCACGACGGGGGAGGTAACGGGAGACCCCGACCGGAGGCAGCCGTGAAGGCCTTCTCCAAAGAAGGCTTAATCCCGCGCAGCAAGGTTGATGCCGGGAAAGCCTTGTCGGACGTCTCGTCGTATACCTCGGAGGAACCCACGGAACCGTGGATTCCCCGCGGTATCGGCAGGGGCTTTGGCATGTCCTCGAAGAGGTCATACACCATGGCAACGCGGTCCTTAACCGATAGCGGAAGCAACGGTTCGGGGGAAGGACCGGTAACCACGGCAGCCGCCGCCGTACCGGTGGACCCCGCGTCCGAACCCGCGGCCACCGAAGAGGCCGGGGACGGAACAGCCAGCGGCCTATCTTGCGATAAGGCCGCCAGCTTGGAGTCCACAAGTTTCGACAATAATGCGGCGACGGAAGCCCCAGACAGCCCGAGGGCCGCAAGGGGATCCGCCGCAGCCGAGGAGGTGGTACCCGCACGGGGACCCCGACCGGACGAACCGGCCACCACAGGGGTGGAGACGGACTGTACGTACAGCCGGTACCGCTCAAACTCCGCAGGCCCCAGACCTTCGCACAGGGTACACCGGGTGTCCCCGCAAGGAACCCTGCACCGCGGGCAACGATCGTGGGGATCCCGGGATGACAAAAACTTTCTGCACACCCCACAACTCCGAGGAGCAGGGGTAGAGGGGGTGGATACTGGGGACATATCCATGTCAGACATTGTTTGCTATAAACAAAGAACAAAACATGGTTACAACGCACGCACCACAACGATTCACAAACGAGCATTTTCACAAGAAAATAAACGAGCAATGTGAACATATAACATACACATATAACTTTTATTAAAGAAATAAGTTATGTTAACCCCCAAAACATACAAGAACAGGGGAAACGTAAAACACAACGTGCATACGCGAACCCTGCAAGTATAGAGAAAAAAAGGGCGGGAAAAATTTTCCGTTTGGCGGGAAAATTATAACCAAGCGTAGCTACCGCAACGCCCCATAAAAGCACAGTTTATTAGAGAATAAACTATAATAAATATCACCAAATCTTCCAGGAACGCTTCAGCAGGAGAAAACACGTCTTGCTAAGCAGACGAAGGAGACAAGAGTGAAGGGTGTCACATGGCAGCTAGGTGGCTACACACGTGCTGCATGAGGTAATTGAGATCTCTGTGGTAGATTTCGCTATAGCAGCAGTTGTGGGAGACAACAGCCTCGGTATAACAGTGGTAACGTATTACTTAATGTAATATAGCGAAGGGAATATTCACAAATACTCAAGGCAATCTTCAAAGCTATTTCTGACTTCAACAAAATAAGAAAATTTCGTATGACATTTGTTTAAAACTGACCTGTTTTTCAGAAGGCACTGCCTGAGAAAAATTGTTATTGTTCCCTCCTAGCCTATTATCACAACTAAGGAGAAGAACATGAGAAGAAATTCCATTTCTTAAAAAATAGTGAAGGGAATATTCATAAATTCTCAAGACAATCTTCGTACACGGTAGCAGTCAACATTAGTTTATACAATGCTGCTTGACAGCAAACAAAGGGAGATAACTGACCTGCAGAAACCGAAACGGGTGGAGAACTCGAGAGGAACAAGCTGCAGGTCTTGATGGAACTAGTTAGACAATGATAGCAAACAAAGGGAGATAACTCACCTGCTGAAACTGAAACTGGCGGAGCATCTCCAGATGAACAAGCTGGAGGTCTCGGTGGATGTCCTCCCGGAACTCCTCCAGAGCTTCACGGATGAGGTTCCGGATGAACTCAGTCTGGAATACACTGGTTTCTGATGCTGCTGGGCCACTCTCACTCCTTGGGCTCTGTGTAAAATGATGGATGATGCTAACAACTAACCTGGCAGCAACAACTAAAACAGTAACCATGGCAACATATCGACATGCAAGGTCTGTATTACAGTAGACGTGCCACTCCATTCCTCCTCTGAGTCAAATTCTATGCATTTATTAAGAATTTTGGTCATCAATATAGTTTTAGTACGAGGTATTATTCTTTAAGAGTGAGTGAGTGAGTATGGTTTTACGCCGCTTTTAGCAATATTCCAGCAATATCACGGCAGGGGACACCAGAAATGGGCTTCACACATTGTACCCATGTCGGGATTCGAACCCGGGTCTTCGGCGTGACGAGCGAACGCTTTAACCACTAGACTACCCGACCGCCCCTTATTCTTTAAGAAGTTTACTTGACCAATAGCAAGTGCAAATGGACTTTTGTGTGTCGAATAATGTAAATTCAAAAGCTCAAATTTGAGAATTTTAAAAAGTTGTTGTTCTCTATCAACCATATCATTGCCAGCACAAATCACACAATTCCACTGGTATCCTGTCTACTCTTACCCTACTCATGAGTGATTGAACGATTTTGGCTCAATGGTGCTTTAAACAGTATTTCAGTCATATCACAGCATGTCAGCTTCATGTGGGAGAAAACTTTTTTTACCATTTTGCTGAAACCCACATGCAGTGTTTGGTGTTGATAAACAAAGAAACATAACCAGGGAATCTGGGACTTGAACACATGATTTAGGGCCTAAGGGACATTACTCTGCACAGTGATTTGTGTGCCTGGCCCACTGGGCCACCCATGGATCCTACATATGAACATGATTAAATTTTCAAATTGAAATAGAAACAGACCTTCTGAATGGAGCAAAATGAAAAGACTTTCTTAAATATTTTTTATGACTGAACTAGCTTTATCAACTTGTCCTTGATAATTATTACTATGCATGAACAATTGTCAATGCAATATTGAACCAGGGTGCTATGACCCAAGGTCTTTACATTCCGTCCCATTGGTGAGGTGAGGTGAGGTGAGGTGAGGTGAGGTGGGGGTAAGGTAAGGTGAGGTGAGGTGAGGTGAGGTGGGGTGGGTCGCGGTGATGTGATGTGATGTGATGTGATGTGATGTGATGTGATGTGAAATGAGGTTTAACGGAACGTTCAAGATACTTGCACTTATATAGTAATGTGCACACATTAGTGTGTGAGTGTCTGTGGATGCTTGTACTTGTCCCAACTTATACTGGTTTTATGGTGCTAGGTCATTCAGATACCAAACCGCAGTTTAACATGGATACCACGCTCAGAAACATTACACTGACTCCAAGCCGGCTTGTCCCTTTTTTCATCCCTTTAATGCTGAGACCCAGCTAGAATCTTTGAGCCTCTTTTTGTGTGATCCCAACGGATGAAACCACCAACTAGACTATGGAGGCAGTTCTGGGGACCTATGACTGCCTGCAATCACCTGAGTCGCCTTCCTGAACATGGCCTTCAACTCCCCCTGCATCTGCTCCGAGTAGTCCTTGACAGCTTCCTTCACCAGGTGGCGCAGCTGCTGTGTGTTAGTGGGACTGCCATGGGAGGGGGAGGGGAGACGCGTGTCCGCCCGGCTACTGGCCCGCCCGCTGCGGGGGCTGTCACTGCTGGTGTTGCAGCTCCCCCTGCCGTCGGTCACGTCCCCCTCAGCACCGTCAGCGCTGGACTGTATAGGCAGGTGGACAGATGGCAGGCTGGGAGACGCACAGATACCTTTGGGGGAGTGCTTCCGCCGAGTTGGTGAGTCAAACTCTGGAATAACAACACATACATTTGGGGCTGATTATCAACACTGGGACTGAGTGGGCAAGTATCAGCAAGATACACCCTATTAAAGCAGCCAGTAACTTTTGGTTTGGTTTGTTGTTTTACGCCGCACTCAGCAATATTCCAGCTATATGTCGGCGGTCTGTAAATAATCGAGTCTGGGCCAGACAGTCCAGTGATTTACATCATGAACATCGATCCACGCAATTGGGATCGATGACATGCATCAACCAAGTCAGTGAGCCTGACCACCCGATCCTGTGAGTTGCCTTTTACGACAAGCATAGTCGCCTTTTATGGCAAGCATGGGTTGCTGAAGACCTATTCTACCCCGTATCTTCACGCATGCAGCCAGTAAGTAATCAATCCTGGGCACACCATAGTGTCACAGCCCTGTCACGCACTGTAACCCTCTTGTTAATCATTAAACAACAACCCTACTGGTTGCTCTGCCCTGGATTCCCTACATATGTACAATATCTTTAAGTAGCATTTTGAAAGCTGTCGTATCAATTCTTTCTTATATTGTTTCCATTGCGAATGCAGGCCTCAAAGTTGTGACTTAAATGGTCGCCAATGCAACCTAAATTTCAATTTGTCTACTGTTTAAAATTCAGAGGTAGTCAAATGACTACCTTGAAAAATATCTTGTGGCGACTAAATTCTATTGCTACCCATATGTACACCCCAAAATAAATAACAGCTGGTCTTGGTAATTCCTCCTAAAGTAGACAATGAACACAAATACATAATGTAATTAGTATTTTATTTTAGTTGACAATGCTCATTGGGTAATCAATGATATACCTATATAATCTAGTAACATAAATTGCATCATTGTTCAAGTCACAAATAACAAAAATCAAGTACAGTTTCCACTATTACACAATTCCAAGACTAGTGCTATGACTTGTACATATTGTAACAGTTATGTCATAAAAGATCATTTCAAATGCTTTTGGCCACCTACAATATTGTCTTGACATTTTGATTTTACCACTGGATACCTGGGAAAAAATGCTTGTAGCCATATGGCTACTTGGTAAAAGTTTAAACTTTGCGGCCTGGAATGTCACATGGAACACGTTGAAAGACTAGAGAAGTTGAATATACAAGTCAACTCTGTCCTCATGCCTCGCATCCGAGAAGATCCGGGTTGGAATTGATCATCAGCAACCCATGTTCTTTGTAAGAGGCAACCAATGGGATCAGGAGGTCAGGTTCAGTGACTTGGTTGATGATGCATGTCATCATATCCCAATTATGTAAAATGATGTAAAATGATGCTCAACCACTGGATTGTCTGGTACAGACTCGATTATTTACAGTCCTCTGTCATATAGCTGGAATATTGCTGAGTGTGACGTTAAACAAGAAACAAACAAACGAAAAAAACTTCATGCTCACAGGTGTATCTATTGCAGTGGAAAGACAATATTGTGTTTAACTACAGCCAAAAGCCATAGCTTTGGGTAATATCCCAGCTATATTCCAACTGAAAACCTAAAATTGTTCCTAAATTCGAGAACTGAACCAGGATTTTTGTTTGAAATCAGCACAGCAACTGTACACGCTGAAAGTCTTTCAAAAGACCTACAGATAGACCATTCTTACAGCTAACAAGGAAATTAATTAACAAGACTCATAGCAGAAGCCAAGTGATGGTTACACACGATGATTGTATGAGTCAAGATTTACCTGTGTGTCCATTGGGCATGGCTCTATGGTTGCCATAGTTACCATCATCCTGGGCCAGATGGGTCTGATACCTCATGTTCATCATTGGCATGCCATCAGACGACATTGACAGACCCTGGAAGATACACAGTGGAACAACCATGAGAGAGCACATGAGATGACAGTGTTTGTTTGTTTATTTGTTGTTGTTTAACGCCGCACTCAGCAATATTCCAGCTATATGATGGCGTCTGGACCAGACATTCCAGTAATTGACATCATGAGCATCGATCCACGCTATTGCCATACAATAACATTTCATTAACAAAGTCAGTGAGTCTGACTACCTGACTAGTTGCCTTTTATGGCAAGCATGGGTTACTGAAGACCTATTCTATCCCGGGTCTTCTTGGGTGGCAGATCCCTTGTGGGGATTCTGCCAGGTTATACACCTGAACCACTAGGCTACCCCATTGCACCCAAGTTATAAAATGTGTCAGTGAGTGTTTTGTTTTTTTGGCTGCTTTTAGCAGTATTCCAGCACTAGCACTGCTAGGGACACCATCCATGATGGGCTTCAAACATGTCACTCATGTGGGGAATTGAACACAGGCCATTGGCGTGATGAACAGGCACTTTAACCACTAGGCTACCCCATTGCACCCAAGTTATAAAATGTGTCAGTGAGTGTTTTGTTTTTTTGGCTGCTTTTAGCAGTATTCCAGCACTAGCACTGCTAGGGACACCATCCATGATGGGCTTCAAACATGTCACTCATGTGGGGAATTGAACACAGGCCATTGGCGTGATGAACAGGCACTTTAACCACTAGGCTACCCCATTGCACCCAAGTTATAAAATGTGTCAGTGAGTGTTTTGTTTTTTTGGCTGCTTTTAGCAGTATTCCAGCACTAGCACTGCTAGGGACACCATCCATGATGGGCTTCAAACATGTCACTCATGTGGGGAATTGAACACAGGCCATTGGCGTGATGAACAGGCACTTTAACCACTAGGCTACCCCATTGCACCCAAGTTATAAAATGTGTCAGTGAGTGTTTTGTTTTTTTGGCTGCTTTTAGCAGTATTCCAGCACTAGCACTGCTAGGGACACCATCCATGATGGGCTTCAAACATGTCACTCATGTGGGGAATTGAACACAGGCCATTGGCGTGATGAACAGGCACTTTAAGTACTTGGCTACCACATCTTCCCAAGTAATGAAATTAAATGATTGTGTTTTGGTTTTTATGCTGCTCTTAGGAATATTCCATCAAAATAGATGCTGGGGACAGCAATCATGGGACACCCAAACACACACATAACCTGGAGAAAGCGATATCGTGCATCATGTGTAATTTGCACTTTCCATTTTGGGGAATGCAAGTTCGAGTTGCCTGCCCTTGGTACAAGATCTGGAAAATTAAACAGCCCGATGATTGGGGTTGAAAAATGACAGATGGATATAAACGTAATACTTTCTCTCCCCCCCCAAATAAATGCAGACTCGATGTCAAAGTCTTAACAAGACAAAATAAAGGTTGATAGCATGAGCAACACACCAGTACATGTACAATGACATACAATTCACCACACATTGTACCTGCATAATTCCGAGTTTAGTCAGTTCTCACATCTAGACTGAGGTACAGAGGACCCACTCTGCCCTGAAATCTAAACTGGCTCATGCTCTGGCAAAAATCAAATGTAAATTTACCTGGCCATGAAACATTGGACTGTGCACAAGGGGACTAAGTCCTCGTTCATTGAAGTTTTGTCTCCGTGGCATGGATGTATCACTGGCATTGCTGAGTCCAAGGTTATTAGATATGGGTGAGAACACACCTGAAAACATCCCCATCATAAACTTGTTGCATTTCTGTAAATGCACATGTGAACATCTTAAGCATACAATCAGAAAATCTATACTAGGTAGGTGAGATGAAATGGGGTGTCATGTTTATTAGCATCTTCCCGAGGCAAGAGAGTTAACTGACTAAAAGTCCAGTTTCCACGCTTGCTGAATTAAGCTGGAATTGCTGGGCTCGATCGTAGCGCCACCAGTGGCTGTTACGAGTGATGTCCCTTCTATGCCTCTCCTATGGACCAATCAGATTCCACCTTGCACCACTTGCATTTGCATCAAACAAAATGGCGGCGCCCAGACAAGACAATTTGATCGACAATCAAGATCTATATTGTGATAAAACATGAAGTGCATCAAATCATGGGAGCACCTTGATTAAAAGATTTGGACAATATCTGTTGACAACGAGTTGGCGGTGCACATGTTTTGCAAATCCTGCAATCGACCAAACTCTGCATGACAGTTTACGAACAGGATTTCGATGATCGATTTTGATTGGACTCGTTAGTCCAGCCAAAATGTAACTCCATAATACCAGCCTAGTTTGGCAAGGGTGGAAACTGGACTTTTATAGTCAGTTAACTCCCTTGCCTCGGGAAGGCAGTTTATTAGTCTTTCCTCGTATGTATGCATGTGTGGCTGCTTGTACTAGTCTGGACTAATGCTGGTTTTATAGTGCTAATTCATTGAGATATCAAGCCGCAGTTTAACTTGAACACCCCATATACTTTACAGGAAAACTGACTCCGAGCCGACCAGTCCTTGTCTTATCCCCTTAATTGAGAGCGCCAGGGTAACAACAATCTTTAATGTCTATAGGTATGACGCAGCGGAGAATGGAGAGACCGACCTTCCACTATCCAGGCAGGTGCTCTATCCACTAACCCACTAAGGCTGTATCTATCATATAGATATTCTGACATCATTTTGTTCATCACTGAGTGCCCAAACTTTTAAGATTTATGTACCTTTATGTCTGAGGACCTGCCCTCCTGGGCCCTGTTCCACAATGTTATCTAAGTCAATGTTAAACACAATGTTGAAGTGTGGATGTTAGGATCACCTAAACACTAAGATAACTTTGTGAAATGGGGCCCCGCTTACCTTGACCAGAGTCATTCTGATGACTGGAGTGACCAAGTACATTCCCTGATCTATTTCCCAAATCACTCCGATTGTCTCCTCGGCTTTCTGAAGTTGAGTCACCTGATACACAAACATTTATTCTGTTCACCTCATGTCTATGAATATACATTATACAATATCTGCATGTTTAATAACAGATGAATGATCATGACACATTCCATCAAAAATACCAGTGTTAACATATCTGCTAGTTTTCCAAGCATAATTGTACAGTGAAACTATCACAGGTAAAATGACAAAACACAAAAAGGATAGTGCTGGGTTCTAAAACCTTGCTTAGTGTTGCTCCACAAACTTCTGTTGTGCTGTTTTCATTAACTTTACACAATGGTAGTGTGGTTTTGGGGTTTATCTTTCGGATGGTCTCTTTCAGCATGTCAATAATTTCACAATTAAGACTTAGGGAGTGGATGTGGGGTGTGTGCAGTGTGGGGTTTCTGGGGTATATAGTGTGGGAAGAAGCCTATGCACCTGGGTATGGTTAAAACAAACCAAGGACCATCGTCAGTACAAATCTGGGATCAGTGGATCCTTGTGAGGCTAAGGGACACAACTCCATAAAGTGCGTAAATCCCATCCTGTGCACACATACCTTCTTTCAACGGGGACACAACATCAATGATGGCTGCAGACGTTATTCCAGCAAGCTGTCTATCCACTGTGGGTACTGAGACTTGGACTTGAAGAAAACATTTTGGAAATCATTATCTTTAATTCAAATACAACCATGGTAACAACAAAACCAACAGCTTTAACAATATTTATTAAGGGCGATAAATAATGGCAGCCTTCGACACTAATGCTGATTTGTTGGCCCCTGTCTCAAGGAACAGTGGAATGAATAAAATGTGGTCAGGTATTTTACAAATAACCCTGCATGGTAATTGTTTTCTTTATACTGATTATCATCATCTCAACAAGAGATCCAACAGAACCAGCAGACTGATCCATAAGCACTCTTGTGTAGAATTAACTTGGGGACAGAGAGAGTGAGTGAGTGTGTATGGTTTTACACCGCTTTTAGCAATATTCCAGCAATATCACGGCGGGGGACACCTACCATGATTGGATGCTGAAGAAGGGGCATCCTCCATACCTCTCTGTGGTGCTGTCGGAAGTTGGCGCCGACTCTGGGCACCTGAACTACTGTTCTCTGTCTGAAACATGAATACTCAACAATTTCACAAAACTGTCATGTCAGCAATAACCATGTCCATTCATGACACTGTTGTGTTTGAGTGAGTGAGGGTTTCAGATTGGTTCATTTTCTAAGACACTGGCTGATCGTCTTCCAAATTGTCCAAAAGAATGTTTCCGAAATTAGGTTTTAAAGAAGAAAGTCCTATCAAAAGTCGATAAAAACATGAAAATGTGCTGTTGCCATTTGCCTCTTAGTGTGAGCGAGCGAGCTAGCAAGCAAGCCAGCCAGCAATATCATGATGGGGAGACATCAAGAAAGGGCTTCATGCATTGTACCCAGTTGAGAATCAAACCCAGTATTTGGCCATCACAAAGCAAGGCATAATCTACATGTCCAACCAACCTACCAGTGAGTGAGTGAGTATGGTTTTACGCCACTTTTGGCAATATTCCAGCAATATGACGGCGGGGGACACCGGAAATGAGCTTCACACATTGTACCCATGTCGGGAATCGAACCCGGGTCTTCGGCGTGACGAGTGAACGCTTTAAACCACTAGGCTACCCGACCGCCCAACCAACCTACCAACCCCTTGACTGTTTGAAAAATAGTAACTATCATTTAACAAATTGATGACCACATACTCTTACATGTTCAGGCTGCGTCTTGAGTAGAGTAAGTTACGTAACTAACAAGTCTGGATGGTCAGACTCGCTTACTTAATTGATACATGTCATTGTATCCCAATAGTGTAGACCGAGCGAGTGTGTATGGTTTTATGCCACTTTTAGAAATATACCAGCAATATCACACCAGAAATGGGCTTCACACATTGTACCCATGTCGGGAATGACAAGCAAACGCTTTAACCACTAAGCTACCCAACTGCCCCGATTATTTACAGACCGTCATCATATAGCTGAGTGTGGTGTTAAATAACAAACAAACATCATGAACATGTAATGCTGCTTTGAATAATATTTCAGAAACATTGTGGACCAAGCTATTGCGGGAGGGAAGTCCAAGTGAGACTGAAGATGTTTACCAGTACTCTGTGGTATACAGCAATGTCTCTACATAGTTGTACAAACCTTCTTAAAGTCAAAGTTAGGCTGGAATTTGAGACAGTGTACTGATGACTTGTGCGCTGAAAACCTTTTGACTGGCGTGACACCCTGACGCAGATCGTAGATGAAGATCTTGCCTCGTGTGGACCCGACGGCCACCGTGCCTCCGTTGTGCATGATGTCCACGGACGTCAGTGGTGAATCTGCTGTTATCGTCTTCAGAGTCCTGAAAGAGAAACAGAGGATCTTCACTTTTTCTGAGTGTTGAGTCAAGTACATTTCCCAAATATCTTGATTACATAGACAATATTCAATATTTGCTGTGGACAGAAGTAGTTATCTTCAGTTGAAGGTGTGGTCCTGTTGTACGGTAAATGTTGAGGAGTGTATTACAGTAGGACTGTTGTGTAATGTTGTGAGGAAGTCACTAGGGTTTAACTCTACTTTAAATGTATTCAGGTTACATCACAGTGTATAAGTTTAATCAAAGTTTGACAGAGTTCATGTACATGTTTCGTCAGTAAATAATCAAAATAATTGAGACAGACAGGTTGGTAACACTGGTCCATATTCTATTTTTTATCCCTGAGAAATATGCTGTCTTGAAACCTAGACTGTGGCAAGGCTGCAACAGACTGGGAAATTTTATAATAAATTGTATGTTTATATTCTTATCCTATCTCATACTATGCATTCTTCATTCAATCCTACATGGAAAGGTGCTTGAAAGGTGTTTCCAGCTTCTAAAAAACACCACACGAACACATCCTAGCATCACCATAGTCATTTCCAAAACAAATGGGTCATGTACTGTAATCTAGTGTAAAGCGACCTACACGACCTGATCACGTCACATCATTCTCTTTCATCAAGCTAACAGGCTAGATGAGCTGTGAAGCGAGGATGGTCAGGAGGACATATAGTGTGTGAGGAAGAACAAGTAATATAACCATACGTTTTTTTGTAAAATTTCCAAATTCAAAACAGGAATGATGATCCTGAGGGAGTTGATCTCGGGGTGAATGATCCTTTGATGAGCGATGAGAGTGACGATCTGCGATAGACTTTTCCTGAAATGGCCACTCTTGGGAGAAGTGTGAGACGGAACATTACTCCGTCAATCCTTAGTAGAGGGTGAACCCATTCTACAAGTACCACTAGAAGTCTGAGGTGGTTTCCATGTAACGGAGGAGGGGTGTGTAAATACATGTTGACAGAATCTTCAGTCAGATGTCCACATTTTGAACCCTGCTTGTCGATACTGCACCAGCCACGGCAGTCACAACATAATTTGTGAGGGTCAAGGTGGGAACGGTACATCTACACTGCCGACAGGCTGGGCGAAGGGAATTTTTCTTGCTCATCATCCATTGGAATGTAACATGAGTGAGTGAATGAGATTGTTTTTTCGCCGCTTTTAGCAATATTCCAGCAATATTCACGGCGGGGGACACCAGAAATGGGCTTCAAGCATTGTACCTATGTCGGGATTCCAACCCGGATCTTTGGCGTGACGAGCGAACGCTTTAACCACAAGGCCGCTCGATCGCCCCTAGATTGTAACGTAAATCTATATGACGTTGAAGGGAGTCCAGCAAAACAACAAAACAAACCCAACCGTATTCTCTAAATCACGTCTCCACTGTGTGGCAATGAGAAGCACCTTTCCATCTAGGATCGCAAGAAAGGAGAAATGCATCATGTGAGATAGGATAAGTTTAAAAATTTACCTCTTTCCCTGCAGGTCATAGCAGACCAGCTTCTGGTCCAGACCCACACTCATCATCAGCATCTCATTGAGCGGGGAGAAAGCCAGACCTGTGGCTGGGGCCACGTGAGCTTTAGTGAAGGAATGGAGGAGTCGGCGTGTGTTGGTGTCCCATAGGTTGATGGTGCCATCGTCTGAGGCCGAGCCCAGCAGAGACTTCTTGTAATAGTTGTATTGGAGCTGTCTGATGGCCTGTGTTACAATTAAAATAGAGACTTCTTGCAATAGTAGTACTGGAGCTGTCTGATGGCATGTGTTACAATCAAAATAGTGACTTCTTGTAATAGTAGTACTGGAGTTGTCTGATGGCCTGTGTTACAATCAAAATAGTGACTTCTTGTAATAGTAGTACTGGAGCTGTCTGATGGCCTGTGTTACAATCAAAATAGTGACTTCTTGCAATAGTAGTACTGGAGTTGTGTGATGGCCTGTGTTACAATCAAAATAGAGACTTCTTGTAATTGTAGTACTGGAGCTGTCTGATGGCCTGTGTTACAATCAAAATAGAGACTTCTTGTAAATGTAGTACCGGAGTTGTGTGATGGCCTGTGTTACAATCAAAATAGAGACTTCTTGTAATAGTAGTACTTGAGCTGTCTGATGGCCTGTGTTACAATCAAAATAGAGACTTCTTGTAATAGTAGTACTGGAGCTGTCTGATGGCCTGTGTTACAATCAAAATAGAGACTTCTTGTAATAGAAGTACTGGAGTTGTGTGATGGCCTGTGTTACAATCAAAATAGAGACTTCTTGTAATAGTAGTACTGCAGCTGTCTGATGGCCTGTGTTACAATTAAAATAGAGACTTCTTGTAATAGTAGTACTGGAGCTGTCTGATGGCCTGTGTTACAATCAAAATAGAGACGTCTTGTAATAGTAGTACTGGAGCTGTCTGATGGCCTGTGTTACAATCAAAATAGAGACTTCTTGTAATAGTAGTACTTGAGTTGTGTGATGGCCTGTGTTACAATTAAAATAGAGACTTCTTGTAATAGTAGTACTTGAGTTGTGTGATGGCCTGTGTTACAATTAAAATAGAGACTTCTTGTAATAGTAGTACTGGAGCTGTCTGATGGCCTGTGTTACAATTAAAATAGAGACTTCTTGTAATAGTAGTACTGGAGTTGTCTGATGGCCTGTGTTACAATTAAAATAGAGACTTCTTGTAATAGTAGTACTGGAGCTGTCTGATGGCCTGTGTTACAATCAAAATAGAGACTTCCTGGTACGTTCTGAACAACATACTGACCAGAGAGCTGAAAAGGCCTCCATTTGCTCTTACCTCTGCCTTGGGTGCTAGCAGTGGGCTGCTACTCTGCCCAGTCACAAAGTTGTGAAGGATTATCTCCCCTGACTCAGATCCCGATGCAATGTATGAGTCATTCCAGTTGAACTGGGTACACGTCACTGGACCTTTGTGTTCCTGAAACAGTCAAAGGCTAAGCTGAGCATCAGGTCCTTCCAGCCCTAACCATACACTCTGTTGTGATACAAAAGGCATCTTGGTCATAGTGAGTTAACGCAGCTTTTAATAGTAGCACTGCTACTTCATGAGCATTGTAACAAGTCAATTTCTTGCCATATTTTCTTGATTTCACCTTTATATTTTGGCAAACTTAACATGCTACTAATCACATTCTATAAGTGCTTCCAATCATTTATTTTCCTCACTTTGAATGATGTCTTGAGTTTCTTCCCCTTGAGATCCCAGACACTGACGATACTGTCGGAGCCGCCGGTGACCAGGAATCGAGTGTTGTAGCCGATATCCAGACATTGTCGGCCCGGCTGAAAGAGTAGACGATAGATACTAAATCAACTGAGGGAGCTGCTTCAACCAAATAGAGTGTGAGAGTGAGTTTGTGTGTGTTTGTGCACCTGTGTGTGCATCTGTTTAACGCTGCACTCAGCAATCATGCAATAGTCAAGCTGTAAATAAATTCCAGACAATTCAGTGATTGACAATATGAGCAACGGTCGATGCCGTCAGGCTAGGATGACATGGCATCAAACAAGTCACTGAGCTTGACCACCTGATTCCATCTTCCCGAGGCAAGGGTGTTCATGACTATAAAAGTCAAAGGATTTGCAAGGCATGTGTACTGCCAACTCCGTGTCAACAGATATACTCCAAATCTTTTCATGTTGTGAAATCAAGGTGCTCACATGATTTTCTTGCACTTCATTAAATAAGACCCTTTTTGTTACAATTTTTATCTTGTTTATCGATCAGATCGTCTTGACTGGGTGTTGCCATTTTGTTTGAAGCAAAAACAAGTGATATGAGAGGTGGAATCTGATGGGTCAATAGGAGGGATATAGAAAGGACATAACTCGTAATAGCCACTGGTGGTGCTACAATCAAGCCCAGAAATTCCAGGCTTGTTAGGCAAGGGTGGAAACTGGACTTTTCTATGACCCGATCCATTAGTTGCCTCTTACAACCAGCATAGGTTGATAGAGAACAATTCTAACCCAGATTCCCCAAGGGTTAAAAATAATTGTGTATGCTAATGAACCGACCAAAGCTAAATTTGGACATGGTCTCAAAGCCAACACTGAGTATCACACTGAGTTAATGTTAGGCCACCTTTGGAGTATTAGCATGACTGTTGATTGTTGTTCACCACAGTACTCAGCAAAATTGCAGCTTTATGATGGCATACACAGTTATAATTACAGTAAACTATGGTTATAACTAACTCTAAGTAACCACTGATTTAATTCTTTATACCGTATTCGACGTAATAAGCGCCCCGCTCTAATAAGCGCCCACGGATATTTGCTAATATATTGGCCAGTGAACAATCCCAATTAGCGCCCCTTCCGATTGATCAATGTACACAACACTTATTTATTAGCGTATAATACGAACTCGTGTGTTATATGCACCCTTAATTATGGGCAATTAAATTCCGAAAATATGTATCTCTCGTATATAAACATTTCAGGCTGTCAGTATAAACCACGAAATTTATCTTTCGACTCTGTTTTTTTCCACCAAAATAATATTCTAATAAGAGCCCCCTATTTCTAATTTTGAGAGCGCCCTGGGCGCCTATTACGTTGTTCGTTATATGCATATATATACAGCATATAAACAGCAAATGGACAGGACCCTGAAACAGTTTGTTATATCCGTCTGTTTGTTATAAGCGTGTTTGTTATAAATGTAGTTTACTGCATATGTGAATTTTGTTCAACATTGCTTAAAACAAGTCTTTGAAAGGCATTTAGAAGTCATATACATAAAGAAGAGAATTTATGGATGTCAACTTCTTTATTATGAGGAACACAATGTTTCGGAGTATATTCTTACTCCTTCATCAGGTGAATGATATGAGGCAGGTGGCAAAGTATATGCACGCATAAGTACAACAAAAGTAATAAGATTTCAAAAGGTGAAAAGGGAAGCCAACAGATAATTGGCACTGATAGGTGATTGCTTAGAACAGTAGAACAGTATTTCAGCGGTCTCACAGTGTCATAGCTGAATGTGTTCTACTCGTAATCAGGGTGAATTTCGAACCCATTATCATCCTATCCTGGCACAGATCCTATTGTTACAGTCACAACTTACTAGAAATCAACAGTTCCATAACTGTAACTGTATGAAAAGATAAGATAAACTACAATCGACATAGTCCTCATGATGGCTTTGTTGTTGTCATACATCACAAAATGAGATCTATTACCAACCACTTCAGACCCGTGAAGATTCCGGGGTAGAATAGGTCTTCATCAACCCATGCTTGCCGTAAAAGGAGACTAACGGGATCGGGTGGTCAGACTCACTGACTTGGTTGATGCATGTCATCGGTCCCAATTGCGTGGATTGATGCTCATGATGTCAATCACTGGATTGTCTGGTCCAGATTCGGTTATTAACAGACCGCCGTCATGTAGCTGGAATATTGCTGAGTGCGGCGTTAAACAACAAACCAACCAAACCAAACCAACCTCTTAAAGTTCAGTCTCACATACAGCAGTACAGGCTTCACATAAGTTCACAATACCTGAAAGTTTCTGGAATCATGGCAATGGGAATTGTTTCTGTAATCACAAGCACGAGCTGTCCAAGGACTGCAGACGCAGGCCCCTTGAAGGACGCACTTTACTGACTGTCAGTGTTCTTGTGAAAACACATCTTTCTCAGGCAAGGGAATTAATTGACTCTAAAAGTCCAGTTTCCACCCTTGCCGAACAAGGCTGGAATTTCTGGGCTCGATTGTAGTGCCACCAGTGGCTGTTACGAGCAATGCCCCTCCTATTGACCTATCAGATTCCACCTCTCATATTACTTGCATTGCTTAAAATAAAATGGTGGCGCCAGTCAAGACGATCTGATCTATGATAAAGACCTATATTCTAATAAAATAGGTAATACCTGGCAAAATGCATCAAATCATGTGAGCACCTTGATTGAAAACATGAAAAGATTTGGAATATATCTGTCAACACCCAGTTTATGATACACATCCTTTGCAAATCCTGCAGTCACCTGAAATCTGCACGTCGAAATCCATGTTATTTACAAATCAGATGTCGATTTCGTTACACAATTTTGAATGGACTATGCATACACTCGTTAGTCGAGCCAAAATATAACTCAATAATTCCAGCTTAGTTCAGCAAGGGTGAAAAATAGACTTTTACAGTTAGTTATCTCCCTTGGAAAGATGGCGGAAACAAGGATTCTGTTTGGAATTTTACAATTGAAACAACAAACAACCCTCTGAAGACTTACCTGGCAGTTGAGCTCTGTAGTGGTAATAGTGTTGTTTTTCACATAGTTGAGGGACACTTTGTCATCCTTTGCAGAAACACTGCCAAATATACTACCTGCAACAGACAACAAAAATAAGTAAATTATTAATAACCAAGTACCGTATTTGACGTAATAAGCGCCCCCCTCTAATAAGCGCCCACGGCGATATTTGCTAATATATTGACTAGTGAACAATCCCAATTAGCACCCCTTCCGATTGATCTATGTACACAGGACTTATTTATTCGTGTATAATACGTATGTTATATGCATTCTTAATTATTGAGAATTAAATTCTGGAAAAAAATATATCCGTCGTATATAAACATTTCAGACTGTCAGCATAAACCACGAAATTTACGATCTTTCAATTCTGTTGTTTTTCACCAAATTAATATTCTAATAAGAGCCCCCTATTTCTTACTTTGAGAGCGCCCTGGGCGCTTATTATGTCAAATACGGTAATATCTTTTAGGTGAGTATAATGTTACTGGAAACTTGCTTAACATACCAACTCTCACAGATACACCAAATACATTGTTTAACATGACACTACTATCACAGATCAATCTGAAACATTGTTCAACATGAAACTATGATCACAGATCCAAGAAACTGGATTATAGTTGGACCAGGTAATGGTTGACATGAAAACTACCACCACACCAAACTAGGTTGCACCCTGGTCAAATGAATTTATCATGTTGAAACAGATGCATAAACTAGAACAAAATAAATAAATTCTCAGATATCTGATGATGATGTCATGATTTTTAATACAGTTAGTAATTACTGTTACAGTACTGATGTGGCAGTGTAAACCAACATAAAATAATTAAATTTTTGTTGTGTTCATTGAAATTCCTGTATTCTGATTAGCTGAATTGGTCACATGTTATTGCATTCATTTCCCAATGAATGTAAAAACAAAAAGCCACGCCCACCGAAGCGCACTACTTTTATTACTACGGAATGTTGGGGAATCCCAATATTACAGTCGAGGGAATTCCCTTTCTGCTCACGTGTATCGTCATGCACAGGACATTTAGCAACTTTCATGCAAACCGAAGGCCGAGAATGAATGAAACAGCAAATGTGCAGGCTCGCTCGCCTGCTTTTTTCCCCGCTCGCCTCGGTTCAACGTTCATGTCTTCGGGTTTCATTTCTAACTAGCATTTTTCCAACTGTGTTTTACCGTTATCAGGGTATTAATGTTTGAATCTGTTGCAGTTCTTTTCGCCTCTTGCCTTAATTGACAGGTCCAAGAAACACTGTTTTGATCCTACTCTCCGTTGATTGGCTACTGACTCTGTAGGCGTGTCAAGTTATGTGCATAAATTAATCGATCACCTGATTCATGTCATGCCACAGTATGTATTATCAATATCGTCATTTTTGTCTGTTTTGATATATACAACTGTTTTTGGTTAAGCTATTGTAGATAAAACATGTTTTACGTTGTCTAGATATTTTTCATCAGATGTATCCTGGAAATCTAAATATCGCAACGTAATACAGTGGTCAACTTCAGAGATAGATGAAGCTACAGCCCAGTACTAATCACAACTCAGTGTCAATTAGGGGTGTCACGATAAATCGAAATATTGATATTGGTAAGCACTTAAAGTCAAGAAGTTGATTGTTAAATCTGTTTCCGATCAATAGTATCGATTTCTGTTAGGAATATCGATAGTTTCGATTGTACATGTATTAACCATATCAATAAAATACATGCAATGCTGTTCAAATTTGTTTTTCTTGTGGATCATGAGTGGTAGTAATTCACACATGGTAATGTGGAAGTTTCTTTTTCTTTAATTATTAGGGTAAGTGTAAAGGCGGGATATTTTGCCCAAGTTACTTACAACAGTTACCAAAATATCCGGCCAATTTACTAATTTTAGAATAGGGTTTGGGGTTCACGGCGCTGGTCTCAGGGGTCCCATAGCAACAGCTCTTAGCCAATAGCCTGGGACTATGGGGTCACATGACAGGGGCCAGTGCTCCCGTGTGACCTCAAAACTTTTTTACCGCCTCTTTCTGCCTGCACTGCCTGGACACCAACATCGCCAGCTAGCCCTGCTCATTTTGTTTTAGGTAAGAGCACCAGTTTCTCTGTACGGCATCTATAGGTCTATTGTAGGCAATTATTGTATGGTCCAGTGCATAGTTATTACATTTTACAGGATTAAGAATCATGTGCTGCATTTATTTTCATAAAGTCAAGCAAAATTCGAAACAATTGTTTGGCCATTGTCCGAGTCATTCTTGCTGTGCCAAACTGGCAAACGTCGCTCATCTGTGACTGTCCAAAGGTGCACTCAATGGCAATAATGAATGACATTTATTTGTTGCACTATTTTCTCGTTTGAAAATAGCTGTAGTAAAATACCTTTTGTGTTTGGAAGTAATTTTGCAAATTGGATCGGCCAGTCAAAATTGAAACTAGCTCTTTGCTAAATTCAAAGTTCCATTTATTCCAAATTCTTTCGTCTGATAAATGCACTTGTTGCTGACAACAACAGAACTGTTGCAAGTTTATTTTAAAGTAACAAGTGGCTGACCCCTCACTGACAGCTCTTGACCTGTTCGCTGGGCAGCACACATTATCTTCGGCTATCCTCGGCACTCTCCGGCTCTCTTCCGGTGGCATCACAAAATGGCCGCACCGGATGTAAACAAGGCATGGCTCCGTCGTCTGCTTTATGTTTACCTTAACACAGTTTGGCCTACCATACATTAATGTCATCCTATCCTAATGGTAACACATACCAGTTCACATATATGGCATAATAATCAGGCAATTTAAGATTAGTGTACATTCCTGCAGATGATAATTTTCTTGTCCTCTTGGCGTCTGGCGTTACGCAATCCCATATGATGACAGCTGGCTTAGCAGTAACCAACTTCTAAATATGGAAATACCCTGTTTATTAAATACCAATCCTGTCCTACTAAATATGTAATATTTCTACATTGTCGGATTGGTGTTATAAGGTATATTTCACGACGTTTTCCCACTTGATGTGATAGTGAAGTCACCTTGTATTCAATAATAATATAATGTATTATATTATATGGCCAACAATTTGCCTGCAATATGAGAAATGTGTATTATGTAATATCCATTTACTACATTCATTTTTAATACATTTGCTTAAATTCGGCATTCATTCTGGGTAGCCTCACGTGGCTTACCTACTGGGTGTATTGTCATACTGTTGGAGCTAGCCCCATATGGACTGGTATGATCATCCAACAGGCAGTCATACCCCACTCCTCTTAGCCACAATTCTAGTACAGGCCAGGTGTCCTTTCGTGGTTATTAGGCTTACGTGTTTAAACCGCTTATTTATACATGCCTATCCTATTCCAAATGCGCTGGGATAAATATTCCCTCACTTTGGGTTTAAATGTATGTTTTCAAAACCTCTATTGGCCGCTGTTAAAGTGACTTCACCTCACGTCAGGTGGGATCTTATATGTATCCTATATGGTAGAAAGGATGTGATGATTATATTGGGGGATTATTAGTTAATGTCATTTCCGTAAACAATCATTGTCGTTGTGCATTTACTTATGCACATATGCCTTTTTGTATCAATAATGGGTTTGCATAGTCCTTGTCATTGTCTCTTATAAGTATTATCATCACATCCTGAATATCAGTTGGATTATTGTTGATTCTTTTAATATATTTCATAAGCTCTTTCTGCCTGCACTGCCTGGACACCAACATCGCCAGCTAGCCCTGCTCATTTTGTTTTAGGTGTTTTCCAGTCTGTGCGGCCAGGACTTGCACCCTGTAACTTCCTTACTTTATAATACAATATTATTACTGTCTTTTTGTGTTGTGTCATCTTTGACTGGAGTATTTCGCGCAGTAAGCACACTTGCCCATCCCTTTTCCGTGAGACGAAATCGTTACACAACTGTGGTGATTTCACAGGTCTTACATAAAGAAAACACAAATCAGTCGTATCTCAAACTTTACTTTTTATTAGTTGTCATGGCTATCTCATTCAAAGGAAACTTCAGTTCCAAGGTTTAATTCAACTCGAAAATCCATCTAAAATGATACACTGAAAACTATCGATATTTATCGCAATAGTTGCTTGCAATATCAATAGTTATCGCAATAGTTTCTTTCAATATCAATAGTTATCCCAATAGTGATGTCCAGACCAATAGTCACCCCTAGTGTTAATGCTTATGAATATCATCATCACTGCTCCAAGCAGACCCTTCAGCTCTGTGTTCAGATTTGCAAGTTGATGTTTGCTTCCTTGTAATATGTTGTCCATGTGTCTTGGTCATCCACAAGGCTACTACAAACAATGGTTAGTCAAGGCACAAATCTGAAAACTTTTGACATGCACCTGATTTATGTAGACATAAATCTTTGTAGGTTGCATTTCTTCAATAACTGGTTGCACTGGTTAATCTTTTATGTAGCTTAATCGAGCCCTGCACATTGTTTAAGATAAGACTACTAACCATCACAGCTCCAGCTGACGGCCGACACGTTATAATCGTGGGGGTTATATTGCTGCACTAAGTTCCATGAGGAAGAATCCCACAGCCGGATGTCATCACCGACAGATGCCAACATCAAATCTCCCATCCTGATGCCTCAGCTGTCAGCTGATCTCCCAAAACACCACCGAAAACATCACAGTGGATCTAAAACAAACCAAAGGTTTAATTTATGAAAGTTAGTTATAGACTACAAGAATCTCAGTGTACAAACAGAACAGCTGTATCAGATTGTCTGTAAGCAATCTAGGTCAATCCAGACAAAACAGTGCTTCATTGTGAGTTTTACGCCCTTTAAGTAAGGGTGAAACGATACACCGATATTCCAATGCATTGCGATACTTGACGCACGATACGATATACAATAAACGTAGGCCCATTTGTCGATACGCGTTTCCTCGCTATTGTGCCTTTCAATAAACGGCTAACTTGGTTATAGCGCGCGGTAACGCATGGCTCCCAAAAACCTACCTACATTTATTTAATAAGCTCAGGTTTTACACCGACAGATGTTTTTTCCCCATCTCAAAAAACATTATCAGCTTATCCCCGCAAGCACATAACAATGGAAATACCTGTCAGCAAATCCGAACTGAAGTACGCAATTCAATACCATTATCATACTATCTTGTTATTAAAACGTGTTCATTGTATATCTGGACTTGTGTTTGTAATATATCTTAATAGTTTTTTTTCAAAATTTCATTTAATATTGTTTTCATTAAGTTATGTGAAATCGTGTGTGAAGAGATACAGCAACCACGGTCAGATTACCGCTTTTGACACATTGAAACGAACTTTAGTTGCTAGAGAGTTGATACATATATTAAAAATGCCATACTTTGACTTGTTAAAAGTCATATTTGTGGCAATTTGGCTAATATATGTCAACATAACGTTTTCGCAATCGAAATACATGTAGCACGGGAAGTCCCTAGGGTGACTGGTCAAATTGTTCCATACGTATAAATATCCTGCAACAGCAATCACCAGTACCAAAATGCTACACTTGTGGTTCTTATAATTTTAAATATATATATAGTAAAAGCTGCAACTAAGGTAACACGATATTGGAATATATTATTCCTGATCAAACAATAATTTCAGATACAATTTCTTCGACCATTGCATCAAAATTCTTTGACGTTGTATCACTGGTGGAGCACATTAATTATTTTCTGGTGTTTGAACTTTGAATTGTTTTTAAGGAAAGTTAGAGAAAGTTCCACTTTGAAGCTGAACAACTTCAGTAGTCTTGTTATTATAAAAATAATTTTGACTGTTCCAAAATCATGAAAGGTTCAATCTTCACATGCTTTAAGTCTTGTTTTTTTATCATTGTGTATTGAGATACGTATCGTATCGTGACCAGAATATCGAGATGCGTATCGTATCGTGACCTTCCTGTATCGTTGCAGCCCTACCTTTAAGCCTTACCAAATATCATGGTGTGTCACAGGGTTGGGACAGGTAACTCGGGCACTTGGGACTGGTGGAGTTGGGACTACTAGAACCCATGGTTAGTCACGTGATATATTGCTTAATTACAAAATTCACTTTAACCTCATGGTTACACTGCAGGTCACTAATGTTCGCACTCCTTCTAACCATGTTTGAATAAAGATACATTTATTTAGCTTCAATCTACTTCAGTGAATGCATGACCAGATTGTTATATACAAGTATCTAAATACTTTTTGTCAGGGTTTCAGTTACACAATTCCCAATCATATATTCATTTTACACCCAACTCGAGACATACAACAGGTACCCGGGGAGTAAATTAATATTGTCCCAGCCCTAGTGTCAGCATACTATAGCAGGAAAGCCAGTAGACGTTCACCACTGAAATCCATCAGCTTGGGTATGGTACTGGCAAACTCTTTTGACATGCATGAGGTACTGAGTTGGTTGGTTTGTTGTTTTATGCCGCACTCAGCAATATTCCAGCTATATGACGGCGGTCTGTAAACAATCGAGTCTGGACCAGACAATCCAGTGATTAATATCATGAGCATCGATCCACGCAAAGGGGATCGATGACATGCATCAACCAAGTCAGCAAGCCTGACCACCCGATCCCGTTAGTCACCTTTTACGACAAGCATAGTCACCATGGTCACCTTTTACGACAAGCATGGGTTGCTGAAGACCTATTCCACCCTGGAATTTTCACAGGTCTGAGGTACTGAGGAACTAATAGCCCAAAGGGATATTTTGAGTGGAGCTTAACACCATTTTCTATTTTAGTTATATCACCATGTGTCAGCTTAATTAGGGAGGTAAGCCTGAAGTGATGGCAGTCAGATGTTCATGCATATGATGCTGACATACTAAGAAACATAATCAGGGTTAACCAGGATCTGAACCCATGAACATCAGTTTCAGATATGATTAAGGGACATGACTCTGCACATAAAATTAGGTGCCTTAGACAATTGGGTCACCTGTATCCGGGATAAAATTTTACATTATTTTCATGTCGTGATTGATGTAGTGATTGAGTGAGTTGGGTTTAACGCCGCTTTAAACAGTATTCCAGCTAAATCACAGCATGTCAGCTTAATGTTGGAGGAAAGCCCAAAGTGATGCAGGTCTCTGACGTTTACCACTTCAGTGAAACCGACGATCACAGGTATGGTGCTGACAAACCTAGAAACATAATTGGGGCGAACCGGGATTCGAACACACAATCATTGGTTTCTGGCGTACCCAAGAGACGCAACCCTGCACAGCGAATCACGGCTCCTTAGATGACTGGCCACCCTTGTCCCCCGATGTATTAGAAATAACAACACCAGCCACATAATTGTTTTCAATTTGTTTATGTCTAATTCATTTGCTTCTGTTTTTTGTTATTTTTGTCACCTACCTACAATTATTCATAGTTGGGTGACCATAGGGTATAGTGACACTGTGATGGTTTCTTCCAAATAACTGATAAACATCTTTTCTTTCCATGCCCAAATAATTTAACAGCCAATTAGCAAATATTTTGCATAATCATAAATTGAAAGTTGCTCGATCCTAGACCAACACGACCTACTAACGAGTGCACACTAACCATTTCATATTGCAGTCGATCTTAGGTTTTACCTATTTCACATCATTTCTAAATTATGTCACTGAACATGCTGAAAGCGAAATCAGCTGTTGATCGAAATGCTCGACTCTGACATTAAGCTATATCTCACTTTGCACGTCACCTGTTGACTAGAGTAGTATTTGTGTACTCACATGGGTACCGACACTGCTACGCTCACTATATATAAGGGAAATTAGGATAAATGTTCAATATTGGCAAGAAAAATACCAAGGCTCCAGCTATACGAGCCAACAGGGCATTTTTTTCGTAGGTGAAGTTTCACATATATCCAAACAGCATTCCATAATTATTTACCCTTTACACAAAAAAGCTAAGGAACAGATTAAGAACACGGGTACTTGAAATGAATCAATACGCTTCAACATCCAACTTACATATATTTATTTACTTCCCAGTCTGTTATTATTTTGTAAAGTTTTCTCCCGCCTTCCAGCACTTCCGGTATAATCCGGACAGAGGCTCATTCTCGCGAGAAAATATCGGTCTTACAAAAGTGAACAATGGAAATAAAAACGAAAAGTGAAACCAAAATAAATAGATGATCACTAACAGAACGCTTTAACCTGTCGAAGTATACTTTTGCCTCTTGCATTTAAGAATATAGGCCACAATATAGAAGAGAATTCATTTACTCTTATTGTAGACCTTGATAACAAATGGTTCTTTCCGTACTCAAGTCTTTAAATTCAGCTAGCTGTTCAGCAATGGCGAATGAGCGGGCTAGAAACCTGTCATGTTGTTGCTTTGATTACTGTTTTTAAACCACATAGATAACACTAAGGTTTTACAATGCATCTGTAGTTACAAGACAATGGACGCGTATACTGATACAGAGTGAGTGTATGCCTTTGTCAAATGGCAGGGTCGCAGTGCGGGTAATTCTAAGGCTAATCTGAAATGTGATCAGTCAATATATTTTTTCTCTGGTTTAGCCGGTCATTGGTAATTTGCCCTTCAAGATTGATATACAAGCACCGTTGAGGGATTACGAGGCTTAAATGAACTTAAGTATATTTTATAATTTAGTCATGAAGTCAGGAGGGTCGCTGAGTGTAGTGACAGAATGAGGATTTATCTAAACATGCAAATTTCTAGTGATCTCCGTCCATCAATCTGTGGATAACAGAGAAACAGCAGAGATTCAGTGAATGTGTACTGTTAAGCAATCTCGGCAATGACATGTTTACATTTCTTGCAGTTAAGACTCCTACAGTGGTAGAAACTACTGACTACTGCATTAACATGGTTATGGTACAATTCCATAGAGTTTGTAGCTTGGCTGTCAGTAACTGCTAGTATGGTACCACTCAACCGGATCATGTTAAAGGAGTATTACATAAACTCATCCAATTACTCACTCACAGTTAACCATGGAAAATGTGTCTGAGGGGGTCATCAGCACAGATATGTACCCTAGGTACGTTTCTGTATACAGAAATGTATCCAAATCAATATCAAAATATGGAATGGTACCCTAGGATTACTCCATTCTGCAGCGAGCTTAACCGGTTCTGTTCTGTATTCTGATTTTAGCTAGGGTACATTTCTGTATACTGAAACGTTCCTGGGGTACATATCTGTTGTACCCTACCAACAACGACCCCTTGATCAAAAACAAGGGAGGATAAAACACATTTTGGGTCAGCGTAATGGCTTTCTACAAATATTAATGATATCCAAGTTGTGCATTTTAGTCTTCAACTGTGGTATAATATTAAAGAACCAACCATCATTTTTTATCTATTGATGCATAAGGAACATATATATAGAGGTTATCACGTGAGTGTGTTTGGGGATGGTAAATATCCTAAATATCCTGTATTAGGAATAAATAGTGTTTATTCCTAATACAGGATACTTACCACCCCCAAATACACAAGCTTGATAACCTCTTTATCATATAATGTCATTCTTCAATTCTGTGCTTGAAAATCTGTTTCCATCTCTCACAAACATTACCGAAACATAGCAACTTTTCCTGGAATGTGCGCATTAATATTTATTATGTCACAGGGTAAGTGATGTGACAGTCCGGCAGTGACAGTAGCCAATATAGTTCCAACTGAAATCTGTTTCTTATACACTGGCGAAACAACATATACACAAAACAACAATTGGTTTTACTTGCCATTCGCGTCAATCCATCGGCCTGTCCGCTAGAGTAACTGCCCTTTGTCAAAGGGAAGCTACTCTAACCCTAGTCTATGAGACATCACGGCCACGGTCAGACGTTGTTGACAGTTGGCCTGTTCTCTCATAACGTTAAGAAGTGCAGTCAGATGTACACACAGCGACAAAATGAAACAAGGTAACAATTCTAATATATTTTGCCCAAATCCAATTATTTTAATTTGTGGAAAAGGTTCCAAGCCACAGAGGTCTACAAGCACAGATATGGGTACTGATCCCGCTTGGCTAAGCCTAGTGCCCTCGCAAAATTGTTTCGAAATATATATCTCCAAAGTTGCCAAAACTTATAAAATGCCTTACATCACAGTTAGACACTGATTTTCACAATTAATAGACTGTTCTTTTGATGATGAAATTAATTATCCCCATAGTTTCTCCGGATTCCCGATGGTTAATTCTAACTCAATTGCCGAATAACAGGGGCGACGCCATGTTTGTTTATAAACACTGAAAGAAGTCCCTATTTGACCGTTGATATTTACATCTCTATTGGCATATGATCCCAACGGATATCATTTCTATGCGTTGTCTTTATCCTGCTGAGAAACCTACCCATTATATGATAAATCATATTATTTTACCCACTGAATTACTAAGCATGCAAAATGAATGTATTCATGCTCAAGACATCTTGATGTGGTCCACAAAACTTTTAAACTTGTCAAAAGCTGGAGATAGCCTCACATTCATTTCAGTGTGTCTTTGTGTGTTCATGTTGCTTCACTGTGCCATTGTCATGTCCACAAATAGATTTCCACATGATTTTGATGTCCTTTTGTCTTGCAATCGATGTTGTTATTGTGATGATGTCCTTGTGTTCCTTTCAGTGTCGTAATGTCCCAAGTGGAGGAAGTGACTGTTGAGGAAGAGGAGGAAGATAGCATCCCCTCACATCATGGCACAGTGGTTGCAGAGATGGAAAACTCTCATCTCCCATCACCACCCCCACCGATACCAAGCTCCTCCGCTGTGATGTACCCTCATGTCAGGTAAACACGCCCCACCCTCCACTGTGATGTACCCCCTTGTCAGGTAAACATGCCTCACCCTCCACTGTGATGTACCCCCTTGTCAGGTAAACACGCCCCACCCTCCACTGTGATGTACCCCCTTGTCAGGTAAACACGCCCCACCCTCCACTGTGATGTACCCCCTTGTCAGGTAAACATGCCCCACCCTCCACTGTGATGTACCCCTCCACTGTGATGTACCCCCTTGTCAGGTAAACACGCCCCACCCTCCACTGTGATGTACCCCCTTGTCAGGTAAACATGCCCCACCCTTCACTGTGATGTACCCCCTTGTTAGGTAAACATGCCCCACCCTCCACTGTGATGTACCCCCTTGTCAGGTAAACATGCCCCACCCTCCACTTTGATGTACCCCCTTGTTAGGTAAACATGCCCCACCCTCCACTGTGATGTACCCCCTTGTTAGGTAAACACGCCCCACCCTCCACTTTGATGTACCCCCTTGTTAGGTAAACACGCCCCACCCTCCACTGTGATGTACCCCCTTGTTAGGTAAACATGCCCCACCCTCCACTGTGATGTACCTCCTTGTCAGGTAAACATGCCCCACCCTCCACTGTGATGTACCCCCTTGTCAGGTAAACATGCCCCACCCTCCACTGTGATGTACCTCCTTGTCAGGTAAACACGCCCCACCCTCTACTGTGATGTACCCCCTTGTTAGGTAAACACGCCCCACCCTCTACTGTGATGTACCCCCTTGTTAGGTAAACACGCCCCACCCTCTACTGTGATGTACCCCCTTGTCAGGTAAACACGCCCCACCCTCCACTGTGATGTACCCCCTTGTCAGGTAAACAAGCCCCACCCTTTTCTGTGATGTACCCCTTTTTCAGGTAAACATGCCCCACACTCCACTTTGATGTAGCCCCTTGTCAGGTAAACATGCCCCACCCTCCACTGTGATGTACCCCCTTGTCAGGTAAACACGCCCCACCCTCCACTGTGATGTACCCCTTTGTCAGGTAAACATGCCCCACCCTCTACTGTGATGTACCCCCTTGTTAGGTTAACACACCCCACCCTCTACTGTGACGTACCTCTTTGTCAGGTAAACACGCCCCACCCTCCACTGTGATGTACCCCTTTGTCAGGTAAACACGCCCCACACTCCACTTTGATGTGTCCGCATGTCAGGTAAACACGCCCCACCCTCTACTGTGATGTACCCACTTGTTAGGTAAACACACCCCACCCTCTACTGTGATGTAACCCGTCATCAGGAAAATATATCATGATTGATTATAGCATGATTGACTAGTCAGTATGACAATGGCTGCTACTTGTGTTTCAGTACTGACCACACCTACAACTCCAGTGCCACCTGTGAGGAGCGTGCCCTTCACAATGGCTGGAAGAAGAGAGTTGTCCGACGGCAGGGTGGGAAGACAGTTGGAAGAACTGACGTCTACATTTACAGGTGCGTCACATCTTGAGTTATTATCCCCCGCCCAACAAAGTTGGCGGGGGATATAGAAACGGGCTCCGTCCGTCCGTCACGTTTCTTTTCCGGAGCATAACTCATAAACTGTTCAATATGTTTTCATCAAACTTTGCAGGTTTGTCAGGTACATGTTGAACTGGTGCCTTTTGCTATTTAGAAATTTTAGAATTTTTTATTTTTTATGTTCCATGGCAACAAGATGGACTTAGGTTCTGCGAGAGTAGGGTTTGTTTCCGGAGCATAACTCATAAACCGTTCAATATTTTTTCATCAAACTTTGCAGGTCTGTCAGGTACATGCTGAACTGGTGCCTTTTACTATTAAGAAATTTTAGAAATTTTTATTTTTTACGTTTCCATGGCAACAAGATGGACTTAGGCTCTGCAAGGGTAGGGTTCGTTTTCGGAGCAAAACTCATAAACCGTTTTTTTTACAATTTCCATGACAAGTTCAACCTCGGTTAAAAAAGGTTAGGGTTTGTTTAGATTTAATTATGTCATAAATTCTGCAACAGGGGCGGGGGATATAGCCACGTTAGTGGCAAACTCTTGTTAATCTTACAACGACACATGGTGTCTAACTGAGGAACAGATCATGATGCAGTTCAATCTATTCCCCGATTCTATAATATGAGTGTTGGATACACCATGTGCTTCAGTTTCTATTCATATTTATTTTATAATATTGTTGTCTGCACACCTATATATTTGTTTTAAAGCTGATCATGTAGTGATGTTTTGTTAAATTCATTTTTTGATTAAGTGCTTTTTAAAAAAATAGTGACATTTTGACAGAAACAGTTTATCATGGTTTATCATGTTCAGAATTGTATGTCATTTAAAGAACTTCTGATAACCTGTTAGCTTACATTTCCTTGCAGTCCTGAGGGGCGAAAGTTTCGCACTAAAGCAGAGCTGGCTATGTTCATTAGCAGCAACCAACTTGATGTCTCACCTGATGACTTCAACTTCTCATCAGATTTGTCAGCTGAAAGATCACAGAGATCAGGAGAAGCAAGGTATTCTTGAAAACAACTAATAGTTTTGGCTGGAAAAATTATCCTTGGCTTCTATGCCCATCTGAGTCAGCAAGTCACACTTTTGCTTACAGTTAAGAAACAACTTTTAATCCAAGATAACCTTTAATTCAGGATATCTGAATATCTGTTGAATTATGATGTAGATTATATCCGGTTAATGTTGATGGCCATGCTTTACAGACGGTCCGCCACCAAGGTGAAGGTCGCACGACAGCCTCGATCTAGGAAGGAGGTGGTGATTACACCCGTACAAACTCCACCTCCACACCAGCACTCAGACTCAGAGGAGACGTCACCGCTATCTGCCAGGTTAGTCAGTGGATGGAAGTGAGAAGAGTTGGTGCTAGTGGACACTGCAGTGTGAGCTAGGAGTGTAATGATTGAATGACCTATTGATGCATTGCAGGTGTTCTTGGCCCAATGTAAACACATTGATTAGACTAGTTAGAATTTCTTATGGGAATATTTTCCCAATACCTATGCTTGTCTCATTGGGATTCCAGACTGTCATGATATGACTGGAATATGTTTTTGCTATATGCGACTTAACAGTCTGCCTGTCTATTCCAGAAACCTGATGGTGGGTTCGAAACCCGGCTTACACCGATTATATTTCTAGTTTTGTCAGCACAAAACCCATGCTCGTATGTTTCACCGAAGTGATAAACATTTGAGACCTGCATCCCTTTGGACTTAACTTCAACATTAGCTGATGCTGTGATATAACTGGAATACTTTTAAAAGCAGCATCAAACCAAACTCTCACTGTCTCTCTTGCTCACTCACTCACTACTGACTGAGATATAGAAACAGTCTGCCTTAGGCCTGGGACGAGTCCAAATTTACTACCCGGGTACCCACCCCGCTATTACCCGACCCTACCCGGGTACCCGCTACAGGTCTCAAGATTTGAGTACAAAATGTCAGATTGGGAATAATTTGACCGGAGCCCTGGTAAATTGTATTTAGATACAAATATAAAATGATCTGGTCATGCATACACAGAAGTTGACTGAAATTTTATCTTTATTCAAACATATAAACAGGCCACAAAGTTGCGACTAAATTGGTCGCCATGGCGATCTAGTTTTGTATTTTGCGACTGGTATTTTCATGTCAGTCGCCAACTGGCTCCTTGTCTTTAATTAAGTTTGGCGACTATAATGCGCACCCCCTTCTACACAGCTGTGGTTTTTTTTGGAAAAAAATGCGCAGTATACTCAAGAAAATACGGAATGCTTTGAATGGCGAAGCTGACACGGAAGTTTCATCGTCTGTCGACACGTTCGATGAACCAAAACCTGCAACTGGCACCAGTAAACTGTCAGATGATGTTACTGACACAATGTTCTTAAGCTTGTCTGATGGATTTACTGACACGATGTCCTAAAGCTTGTCTGATGATGTTACTGACACAATGTTCTAAAGCTTGTTTGTCTGAAAACTCAAAAGCTTCAACAACAGTTGTTGTTCATGATATAACACTGATTATTCAAACTAATGGATTTTTTTGTGTTTTGTTATGCAGAAGCTCCGTTAAATTACAAGTCATTACTTTTGGCTCCTTACATTTTGCCTTGGCTCCTTGAAAAAATAATTTAGGAGCCAAGTGGCTCCTTTGAATTTTTTTTAACTTTGTAGCCTGATAAAGGTCAGAAGGAATGGTGCATAGGCAGAAAGAAATTCAAACATTAGTGACGGGTGGTGTAACCATAGAGTTCTAGATATTTTTTGTCATTAAACAATATATCATGTGACTAACCACGGGTCCGGGTAGTCCTGTCGGTACCCGGATCCTACTCAGTACCCACCCGACCCGAGTACCCGAGTTACCCGTCCCAGCCCTAGTCTGCCTGCCTGTTCCAGAGGTGACCACACGTACGAGGGCAGCAATACACGTGAGGAGGAGCAGCTGCTTCCCAATGGCTGGTCCAAGAGGGTGGTGCAGAGACTCAGCGGCAAGTCCGCCGGCAAGTTTGACTGTTACATCTACAGGTAAAACTGGCTTTGGTTTTTGTATGGCAAGATAGGATACCAAGCAATGAACACAGTCTTCTGTAATTCACTTTTTGAATCATTGGTTTCGGCACTATTGGCTCTGTTTATCATATGGATATTTGTATATGTTTGTTTCTTTCACAGAACCATTCTATCATAAGAGGATTTGGGGATATTTTCATACTCGTTTATTATAATTAGCAGCCGTGTGAAATGGGACAGTGTTAAGTTTTGTTGGAATTTGACCACCACCAAGAATGTTGTCGTTCTACACAAAGATAATTGACATAAGATATTCTTCTTCCATGGACCTCTTCCAAATGGCTCTATAGGGAATCTTTTTGGCACATGCATGAAAAGGTCGGGGTCAAGAGATTGAAAAATATCGCCTAAACAATTTGTGGTTAAACTTTCTGAATAAATATTGGTGTATTTATCATTAAACTCTAGGACAGGTCCCACTTTTGGAAAGGTTTTTGTCAAAGGTCAAAGGTCAAGGGCAGCATTCAAGTTTTTGTTAAAACATGGTAATGTCATGTTTAGTTCCTGAGGCTAGGTTCCCTCTATTTGCATGAGACTTTATAGTTGCGTGTATCCTTATAAATCCTCTCTCATAAAATGCTGGTGCCATGTATAGCAAAGGTCAATGTCATCCTGGAGGTTATTATGAAATGTTGTTAAATGTCGTATCTTCAGTAAGGTCAAGGTCTGGAAGTAATTGTTTTGGAATGACAGTAAATGAGACCTAAGGTGCTTTGAGCAAATGGTCCCATATTTGCACATTTGTATTTTAGTGTCTCAAAGTTGATTAGTTGCAGTACCTAGAGATTTTGATGTCATGACATGTTACCTATAGTAATTTGGAAGAATCAGGTAGTCCTTAATTAACCTTCAATGAGTAGTATGATATCACAGTTGGTGTTAGCCATTTGAAAAAAATTCATGAAGGCAATGATATTTGTTTTGTCAGAGAGAAACCTACCATCATTGGTTTGAATCCTGGTTCGTCCTGATTATGTTTCTAGGTTTGTCTGTGCCATACCCGTGCTAATTGGTTTCACCAAAGGGTAAACATCTGAGACCTGCATCACTTCAGACTTAACTCCCACATCAAGCTGACATGCCGTGATATAACTGGAATACTGTTCAAAGCGGCGTTAACCCAGCTCACTCTAATTCCCTACATATTCGTATAAAAGAATTATGAAAATGCATGTGAAAATAATATGGTGCTAAATCCTCTTTTTCAGTCCTGATGGTAAAAAGTTCCGTTCAAAGACTGACATAGCCTTGTATATCCACCAGCAGGGTCTTGAGATAAGCGTTGACGACTTTGACTTTGCCAAGATTAAAAACAAAGCCAAAGCTGTAGGAGACGTAACTTCCAAAATCATCAAGAGCACAAAATCAAAACGAACAAAGAAGAACATAGTGAAACAAAAACCAGAAAGCCCGAAGAAAAAATCCCCTGTTAAATTTTCCCCGAAAAAAGACAATAGGACCTTGGCACAAAAATTAGTTGTCAAGATGAATTTTTCCACACCCACCAAACGTCGACAGGATGATCTAAAGGAGCGAAGGAGGAGGGAGAGGGAGGAGAGGAAGATGACTCTGGCAAAGAAGAAGCTTGTGGTAGAGGAGCCGGAAGTTGAAGATGATGTATCTGACATATCGGACAACGAGGAGCAATCTGTGATAGTGAAACCTGCTGAGTCAGCAGAGGACTACAGGTATGTGCAAGTGACAGACTCGGGGTCATGGGACAAAGATTTGGAAAGTCGGGTGGGCACAGGTATGAATGTGGATCCTGGTAAGGAGGATGACACTGTAGCAGGCTACAGTGGATCCAGTGAGGATGAGGATGGAGATGATTCTGATGATGAAGATAGTGCTGAAGAACCACAGAAGGCTGTGATAACATCGGACAGTGCTGATCTGAGTCACGAAATTACGGAGGAAATGGAAGTGGGTGATGAATCTGAGGAAGAGAAGGATGAGTTGTATTCCCGACCAGAAGATGAAAGTTCCGAGGAGGAGGTGGGAAGTGAGAATGAGAATGAGAATTCGGAGATTAAGGGCATTGAGAAGGCCTCGAAGGATGAGGACTTGAAGGATGAGGACTCGAAGGATGAGGACTTGAAGGATGAGGACTCGAAGGATGAGGACTCAGAGGATGAGGAGGAACGGGCACTGCAGTACAATGAGTATGATGAGCTGAGGTTGATCAGTGAACATGATGAGCCCCACCTGGAGGAGCAGCATGGGCTGGACATGGCAAATGCTCAGGACACAATCAGTGGCAGTGGAGAAGATGAACACTCGGACTCTCATCTGGAATCACATGTGAGTGAGGGCGAGAATGGGGAAATTCTGCCTCAGATAAATATCAAAAACAGGGTGATATCTTCTGGAGCAAGAAGTGAACCTATTCTTGATAAAATTGCTTCTGAATTTTTTCAGATGGATTCATATGGTGTGTCATCTTTTAATAAGTATGACAAGGAGGAATCAGATTCTGATGGTTTAGCTTCACTTCACTTTTTGCCATTGAAGGAAGATCAGTTGTCGAAGAAGCGACAACGTCATCCTTCCAAACCAAAGAAGACATCCCCAGTGACCACATTAGAAACGAGTGAATTAGACAAATCCAAAGATGTAAAAGACAGTGTAAATGTTGATCATATTAAATTAAATAGTGACAGGACTAAACACATATATCATGACATCAACAAGATTTTGTGTAATGGGGGAAATTTGGTGAGTGGTAGAAATAAGAGTGCTGAGGACAGGTTAGTTGAGGCAACGAAAGGTGATGAAACAAGACTTCCCTGTAGGAGTCCAGAGAATACCGAAATTCCATGTGTAGAGTACTCTGTGGAAGCCAGAGTTCCGTGTGTCGATTCAGGAGTCCTGCAGGCAGATTCTGATCATGTGGACGAAAATGAGAATGTGACTCTTCCAGAATCGGACAAACACGAGTCTGTTGATCCAATGGCTCTGTGTCGGGTCAGGTTGCGCTCACGGCCGTCCGAGGTGAGTCGCCGCACGTCACGGATGCGGAAACGGAAGGTGAGCTGGGGTGGGACAGAGGAGGAGGAAACTGTAGAGAAAGTGAGACGGCAGAGTCTACAGCCAGAGCAGGAACGACAGGCACTCTCAACACAGAACTGGTCACCTGGTAAGGCAATCAATCAATCAATCAATCAATCAATCAATCAATGTAGGCCATCCAGCCCATAGTTCCCTTAAGGCGCCAATCAATCAATCAATCAATCAATCAATCAATCAATCGATGTTTATTCAGAATGTAGGCCAGCCAGCCCATAGTTCACTTAAGGCATTGTGTTATTGCATAACCAATTAATGGTGCCAACTGTGTCCCTATAAATGATAACAAACATACATATCAATACACACAGTCCATAACACCTCTATTATGTACTGGTACGAACAACACAATGATAATGTATTAAATTAAAACTGTGCCAACATCCACATTTTTTATGTATATACTATAAGGAGACCAATAATTAGTGCTCAAATGCTTCTAATGTCTCTCTATCCAACCTTTCCTTAACATTAAGCTAAAATATAGATATGCCCCTTACCACCATGCCCAATTTCCAAGTTTCAACTTCACTGTTGAACATATGAAGAATGGTACTTAAACATAGATGATCTTTAACTCCTCGAGGGGCGGTCGGGTAGCCTAGTGGTTAAAGAGTTCGCTCGTCACGCCAAAGACCCTATTGCTGTGTCACTATTGCTGTGCTCTTTACATCTCAATAGACCCAGATTTGTACTGTGGAGAGTTGAGAATGAAGAAAGGAAAGCTAAACACATTACTGACTCCTTCGCTGCAGATTTGGTTGATTTTGCTGCCCATAAACATGATAAAAATCAATCAGTTGCTATCTCAATCTCACATTGCAATAAAAATTCTAGACGCTATTTAGTATTTTTTGTTCCACCTTTTAGTGAATGGAAAAGTTACTACATAGGCTCGACCCCAAAATGCTTATGTCAGCAAACTGTTCTTTACATCTAGCCTCTATTTCCATTTTGGTTTCACTGGCATTTTGTTTTTGTAAATTTATAGTATATCAGAAAGACCAGATTAAATTTTATGTAGACAATGTTTTTTGTCATGGATAGATTTTATTTCTGTGATGACCAGAAGTCATTGTTGATTTTTAGTATGATTTTGTATTTGGCATTTAGGGTTTTTGCTCTTTGTGGTCGTTTCTTACAATGTGTTAAATAGAAACTTGATACTGGAAAAAGAGTCATCCATTTGTGATTTGTTTCCTTCTATTCAAGACCACAGGGACTTGTCCAGGTGACACTCCCTTGAAGATCTGGGGTAGAATAGGTTTTCAGCCACCCATGCTTGCCGTAAAAGGTGACTATGCTTGTCGTAAGAGACGACTAACAGGTTCGTGGGGTCAGGCTCGCTGACTTGGTTGATGCATATCATTGATCCCAATTACGTAGATCGATGCTCATGATGTCAATCCCTGGATTGTCTGGTCCAGACTTGATTATTTACAGACCGCAGTGATATCAATCAATGGATTGTCTGGTCCAGACTTGATTATTTACAGACCGCCATCATATAGCTGGAATATTGCTAAGTTCGGCGTTAAACAACAATCAACCAACCAACCAGGTGATACACCACCTCAAACATCCTTCAGGCTATAACCTGTCTTTGCCTTCTTATGGAATTACCAACCTTGCTGTTTCTTCTGAACAGTTTGTAATAAATCTACTTTGTATTTTACATGCAAATTTTCTTCTACCAGTGCCTAGCAAGTATTTCCCGAGTGATGGTAAAGCCCCACCCCTACGGCGCCCCACCCTGCCCCGAGAGCAGCCGTGGACACCCCCAAAGTCCCCCTTCCACCTGGTGCAGGAGAGTCTGTTTCATGACCCATGGAAGCTACTTGTGGCCACCATCTTCCTCAACAAAACCAATGGTGAGTCAGTCCCAGCTGTCAGGGCTGGATTAAGGAACTTGATTTACCTTGTACCAGGTCAGCGATAGAAACAAATATACGTAGTCCACTGGACCTTAAAATGACAAAATTTAGCAAAACCCTTAAAACTTTCTACTAGTCCTTATGATACCTCAACTATTGGGCAGTTTGGCAAGGACAACAGGACTAGTGCCAATTTCAATCGCTGCTGGTGCATGTTGACATGAAAACCAAGTTGCACCCAGAGCTACAGGTAAGCAGCGTATTTGCGTAGAATACCCCCCAAATTATTCAAAACCCAATTACTTTCAATTAACGTGCGTACAGAAACACATGCATTAAATGAAAATCACAAATGTATTGAAACAGCACGTGTAAATACTCAACAATGCTCAATGAACATTTTTCAGCATGTGTACAATGGAGCTAATTTCCGAAACACAATTACGAGCTAATTTACTTTCCAAGTCAAGCCTATATATTTATAACAGTTATCATGGTTATATACATCTAAAACATTATTTCGTTTTTTTTTAAATCTTAAAATGTTCACTCTTTGGGGCAAAAACCCAATAGAGTTATGAATAGATGAGCGAAAAAAATATTGGTTACCCTATGAAAAATATAATAACCCAATTAAAATAGAGACCCTAGAGTAAACACTCAATTGCTCAAAAAGTTATCTGGATCTCTGTGCACCATATTAAACCAGGTTGTACCCTGGTCCCATGAATTTACTAAAGTTGTAACATGTGCACATGATCTTGAATTACCCACAGTTTGATGTCAAGCTCCGAAAGGATAACAAATTACACATAACACAGAAATTATTGATGTCTTATGGTAAATAAAGCTTAGAGGTGTTGAATGTGTTCAGAAATCCATGTTGGGTCGACAAGTAAGTGTTAAACTCAAATTTCAAGCATTTTGACATGTGCTTGTTCATGAGAATTTAGGTTGCATTTTTCAATAATAGGTTGCACTGGTGCATGTCTCAGCTGTGTTCTGCGAAGATATCTGTCAAATTTATCCAATTCTTCTGGTCGCTTGTCAGCTTTGTTATGGTACAAATTAGTGGCCTAACATGTTTTAGATGCTGCAGTCAGTTGTGTTGTGGCATTTGGGTGTTGCATCCCAGAATCACCTTGCAGTGGTGCCACTTAGCCTGAAACATTTACTTGCCACAATATTGATAACATGTGAAGAATTCCCCCTAGACATGTTAACGATTCTTAAATTCTATTACCAGTATCCACCTTGATGCTTTTAACATTTCATCAATTTTCATCCCTGTATCAATTTTCATCCCTGCATTAATTATCATATCTGGTTTGTCAGTAGCCTACCAGTGCAATGTGTTTCAAATGTGGTAAATATCTACCTACTGTGTCAGTTGCGTTTTGTGTCCTCATTAAGCAGACACATCGTGGTGTAGCTTTTCACTGAAGTACTGTTCAAAGCATTGTTACTCCCAACTCACCTATCTCACTTTAGTTGGATTATTAGACTTCAAGGTATACGATTGTGGATGAAACTTAAAGGTGAATAAGTCTGAAACATGATATGAGGGTCTTCAAATTCCCACACAAATTAGGGGGCACAAGTGGCCCAATCGTCTAAGGCGCTGCGATTCGCTCTGCAGAGTTGCGTTCTCTGGCCATGCCAGAAACCTATGATTGTGGGTTTCGAATCCCGGTTCGCCCTGATTATGTTTCTAGGTTTGTCAGCACCATACCCGTGCTCGTGGGTTTCACCGAAGTGGTAAACGTCTGAGACTTGCATCACTTAGGGCTTTCCTCCCACATAAAACTGACACACCGCGATATAACTGGAATACTGTTAAAAGCGGCGTTAATCCCAACTCACTCACACCACACAAATTAATCGTTTTAGTTGAAGTGACAACCAAAACTACTATTGTTTAATCATGGTAATTATCCCTTGAGTCTACAATTTGAAATGTTGTTAAGCTTGAATGCAGGATAAGTTTTCAGCACTCCAGATATCGACATATACCTTTGAATATTCAATATAAATTTACTCTGTTAGGTCCAGTCTGTTGGGTTAATTTGGGTATTTTTAAACCAGTTATTAGATCTTTTTGAAAATTAGTCTGCTTACAATGCTGTTTCATGTGACTTGTAAATAGTGTTTGTTCATGTGCTGCTCCAAGTGTGTCATAAAGTCAGTGTTGTCTACCTCAGGTAAAAATGCCATTCCGTTGTTATGGAAATTCTTCAACAAGTGGCCAACAGCTGACGCAGCCCGGAATGCCGACCCTGATGTCATTGCCCGACTGATGCAACCGCTGGGCCTCCATGAGAAGAGAGCTGCGACCATCATCAAGTTCTCAGGTTTGTCCATATTAAAAATCTAAAAATATAATTGCCCAATTTTTCATCAGTATTTGAATTAAAATCTTATAATCAATATTATGTGAAAAAGGATGTGTGGTATTTATTGACTGTGGATGTATTGCTTTCAGACGAGTACCTGACTCTTAACTGGTCCTACCCCATAGAACTGCATGGAATTGGGAAGTACGGCAACGACAGTTACAGGATATTCTGTGTCAATGAGTGGAAACAGGTGAGTAGTATCACAGGAGTTGGTTGACATTCAGGGCCCAGTAACCCAGTACAGAAAAGCCCCCTCCTTCAACTGTCTTTCTCCCCCCTCCCTGTCTCCTCCCTCTCCTTCCCTGTCATTCTCCCCTCTTGTCTTGCTCCCCATTCCCCTCCTGTCTCCCCCTCCCCCTCCCCCTCCCCCTCCTTCCCTCTCCCCTCCTTCCCTGTCTCCCTCTCCCCCTCCTTCCCTGTCTCCCTCCTTCCCTGTCTCCCTCCCCCTTCCATCTCCCTCTCCCCCCCTTCTCCCTCTCCCCTCCTTCCCTGTCTCCCTCCTTCCCTGTCTCCCTCCCCCTTCCATCTCCTCTCCCCTCCTTCTCCCTCTCCCCCTCCTTCCATGTCTCCCTGTCCCCTCCTTCCCTGTCTCCCTCTCCCCTCCTTCCCTGTCTCCCTCTCCCCTCCTTCCCTCCCCCTCCTTCCCTCTCCCCCTCCTTCCCTGTCTCTCTCTCCCCTCCTTCTGTCTCCCTCTCCCCCTCCTTCCCTGTCTCCCTCTCCCCCTCCTTCTGTCTCCCTCTCCCCCCTTCCCTGTCTCCCTCTCCCCCTCCTTCCCTGTCTCCCTCTCCCCTCCTTCCCTGTCTCCCTCTCCCCCCCTTCCCTGTCTCCCTCTCCCCCTCCTTCTCTGTCTCCCTCTCCCCTCCTTCTGTCTCCCTCTCCCCCCTTCCCTGTCTACCTCTCCCCCTCCTTCTCTGTCTCCCTCTCCCTCATTCCCTGTCTCCCTCCCCCTTCCATCTCCCTCTCCCCCCTTCTCCCTCTCCCCTCCTTCCCTGTCTCCCTCCTTCCCTGTCTCCCTCCCCCTTCCATCTCCCTCTCCCCTCCTTCTCCCTCTCCCCCTCCTTCCATGTCTCCCTGTCCCCTCCTTCCCTGTCTCCCTCTCCCCTCCTTCCCTGTCTCCCTCTCCCCTCCTTCCCTCCCCCCTCCTTCCCTGTCTCCCTTTCCCCTCCTTCCCTGTCTCCCTCTCCCCCTCCTTCCCTGTCTCCCTCTCCCCTCCTTCCCTCCCCCCTCCTTCCCTGTCTCCCTCTCCCCTCCTTCCCTCCCCCCTCCTTCCCTGTCTCCCTCTCCTTCCCTGTCTCCCTCTCCCCTCCTTCCCTGTCTCCCTCTCCCCCCTTCCCTGTCTCCCTCTCCCCCTCCTTTTCTGTCTCCCTCTCCCCTCCTTCTCTGTCTCCTCTCCCCCCTTCCCTGTCTCCCTCTCCCCCTCCTTCCCTGTCTCCCTCTCCCCTCCTTCCCTCTCCCCCTCCTTCCCTGTCTCCCTCTCCCTCCTTCCCTGTCTCCCTCTCCCCTCCTTCCCTGTCTCCCTCTCCCCTCCTTCCCTCTCCCCCTCCTTCCATGTCTCCTTCTCCTTCTCTGTCTCCCTCTCCCCCTCCTTCCCTGTCTCCCTCTCCCCCTCCTTCTCTGTCTCCCTCTCCCCCCTTCCCTGTCTCCCTCTCCCCCTCCTTCCCTGTCTCCCTCTCCCCTCCTTCCCTGTCACCCTCTCCTTCCTTCCTTGTCTTTCTCCCTCTCCTTCACTGTCTCCCTCTCCCCCCCCCTTCCCTGTCTCCCTCTCCCCCTCCTTCCCTGTCTCCCTCTCCCCCCTTCCCTGTCTCCCTCTCCCCTCCTTTCCTCTCCCCCTCCTTCTCTGTCTCCCTCTCCCCCCTTCCCTGTCTCCCTCTCCCCCTCCATCCCTGTCTCCCTCTCCCCTCCTTCCCAGTCTCCCTCCCCTTCCATCTCCCTCTCCCACCTTCTCTGTCTCCCTCTCCCCCTCCTTCCCTGTCTCCCTCTCCTTCCTTCCTTGTCTTTCTCCCTCTCCTTCCCTGTCTCCCTCTCCCCCTTCCATCTCCCTCTTCCCCCTTCCGTCTTTCTCCCCCCTCCTTCCCTGTCTCCATCCCCCTCCTTCTGTCTTTCTCCCCCTCCTTCCCCCTCCCTCTTTCTGTATGTCTCCCTTTGCTAAAATGGTTGAAAGAAATTGTATCTAAAATTATTATTTTATCAGGAGTAATATTTTCCAATATCGTGTTATTTTACAATATGTTAAAAATTATAATAAAAATATTGCATTTATGATCATATATGTATCCGTTCTCTGGCAACTAAAGGTTGTTTCAAGGTGTCAATAGCGGTATTCTGACCGTGGTTGCTGTAAATAATGATCACTTCACACAAAAATAAATTACAAACATTAGTCCAGATATACAATGAAAACCTTTTATAACCAAATAGTATTAAAATGGGATTAAATTCCGTACTTCAGATCAGATCTGTTGACTAGATACGGTGTTACGTGCTCGCGGTGATCAGCTGTTAATGTTTTTTTAGATGAGGGGGAAAACATCGTGTTAGTGTAAAACTTTACAGAGTTTATTAAAAATGTAAGTAAACGTTGGGAGCCATGCATTACTGCGCTAAAACCAGGTTAGTGCTGAATTGATGGACTCTTCGGGGCCCAGTCCACTTCATATTCCAGTGGTAGTAACTGACTATGTGCTAGATACTCGGTTTACTTCCTCATCTTACACCACTTAGTTGTGTATGTCCATCTCCACTAACGTCTTGAAATGTAAGTGGTCACTAACGTCTGTATACATGTATATCAGCAGTGGTCGAGTTTATATGCTGACATCGTGCACACTATAGTCCACATCGCGTAAAACTTTAGTTTTTTAAAATGTAAGTAAATAATTGGAGCAACTGATTACCACGCTATAACCGAGTTAGCACTATATTGAGGGTCACAATATTGAGGGAACACTGTATCTCTGATTCTCAACTCTGTAGATGTAACATTTTACAGAGTTTATTAGCTTTAATTTTGGGCAAGTACATTTTAAAATAGGTCATGTAAGAATGTTGATCATACTTGCCCTTGGTCAAGTAACATTTGCCATAAATTTTCAACCCCTGCCTCCTACTGCCTCTGGCTGCCTATCTCCCCTCCCTTGCTGTCTCCTCCCTCTCTCCCCGGTTCCATTCCATCCCTGTCTCCCCTTCCCCCCTCCTTCAGTATTTCCCTGTTCCTTTTCCTCCTTCCCTGTCTCTCTCTTCCCTATCTCCCTGCTTCCTGTCCCTCTCCCTCTCCCCGTCTCTGTCTGCCTTGACATGTAAATAAGATAGCAATGCGACACAAATGCAGGATTTTATTATACCCTCGACCTAGAAGTTTCTCATACATTAGTCGCCTTATTTATCCAACAAATCATGGCCTGGTTCTTGCAAGAAGGAAACTAACATGTTTTCTGAACAGTCCAGTCAGAAAGGATAGAAAAAAATGATGGCAGCACCCATGCTGATTTGAATTTGCCAAGAGGTTCCAAAACAAGTTCACATAAATATGTGTGGAAATGATGTGAGCTATAAAGTGCTAGATCTTTTTGACAGTTGAAACATGTTTTGACAAAGTAGATTCTGGAGTGGCCAATCCCGGCTCAGGTGAGGGAGGAACATGGTGTGTAGAAAACCATGAAGTATTGACGATGAGTCCCAGGTGATATTCATCATTTCAAACTGGGTGAACACTTTCTATACCCATAGGAGAGATGTAGTGCGAAGTTTGATTTCAATATTTGGATTTTCTTAAAAAATACAGCTATTTTTATTCTTTTATTTAGAATTGTTTTTACATTAACATTTGTGCGACCTATAACTTGAAAACTGCTGCATGAATTCTTTTCAAGTTTAGGGATCGGTTTCCATACTAATAGATGAGGTGCAGTGCAAAGTGTGATTTTGATATGTGAATTTGTTTCTAAAATATAATCTTTTGCATAATTTGAACTTGAAATATGTTGGAGTCAGGTCAGGGATATTAGTGAGCCTTGCTCACTTTTTGCCTTATTTATCATCTGATGTAAAGTCGAAGAAAGAATGACACAACAAAATTTTACTTTTGAAAGTCAAATAAATGTAGGAGACCTTGAAATACCGTATTTTCTTGAGTATAGTGCGCACTTTTTTTCGAAATAACACAGCTGTGTAGAAGGGGGTGCGCATTATACACGAATTATGAGTTTGGATGTTTTTTTCCCCCATGGAAAGACATTACCGTGAACACGAAACACCGGGAATACCATGTCAACAAATCCATACTGAAGTACGCAAAATAATTATGTAATTACACTGTCTGGCTATAAAAAGTGTTCTTTGTATATCTGGACTTATGTTTGTAACTTATTTCATTGATTTTATTCAAAATTCCTTATAATATTGTTTTTATTAATTTTGGCGAAATCGTCTGTGAAGCGATCGGAAGATCGCACAACTCACCGTTATTAACAGCAACCACGGTCAGAATACCGCTATTGACGCCTTGAAACAAACTTTAGTTGACAGAGAATGGATACATATATCATAAATGACATACTTTGACTCGTTAAAAGTCATATTTGTTTTTGTTTGACGATTCTATGTCAACATGAAATTCTCGCAATCACGTGATCACGTGCGCGTGAGCCTTGACGGTGACTGGTCAGACATGTTCCATGTAAAAAATAATACCCGGGAATAGCGATCAGCTGCTTCGCTTAGGGTTATTATTATTTTAAATATGTTTAGTAAAGGTTGCATATAATTAAGAAAATAATGGAATATATTATTCCTGATAAATAAAATAGTTTCAGATACAATTGTTGCCGATCCTTGCATTAAAAATCTTATAAAGTTATATCATTGGGTGTGTCTTGACCGTATCACCGGTCGATTCCAAGAAAACGTGTGTACAGCTGATTTCTGTTTCCAGCTTAGTTTACGAGAAAATACGCAAGGTAATCTTAATCCCTAAATATAAAACAATGCCTAGCAGAACAATAAATACTATTTAAACGGTAAATAAACATGTCTGGTGATTTTTTTATCTCAAATTTCGAATTTGTACTGACGAAGTATCTCAGCACCCGTTCGTTTGCCGGACTTTGCTGAAAGGGTTCGGTGGAAAAAGTTTCTGCGCATAATATTAAAATTTCTTTTTTTCCAAAATATTGAACCCGCTAGAGGGGGGTGCGCATTATACATGGGTGCGCACTATACTCAAGAAATTACGGTACATGTACATAGGTTTCAGGAGAACACGAGCATGAACAGCCACCCTTTCTGTACATTGTGGCCAAAGAGTCGCTCATTTAACACTCAGTTCGCTGTGAATGAACTTGGTGGGCAACATAGTGTTGGCACTAATGTTATCTCTGTTGTGTTCATGTGTCTTTAAAGGGGCACATGGTTTTTCAGCATGTCTCTAAACAACAGCTCTGTTTCAGGTGAAGCCGAGTGACCACAAGCTGAACGACTACCACCAATGGCTGTGTGACAACAGTGCCCAGCTCGGCCTCGACTGAGACTACATCAACAAGTGCTACATCATGGAACCCAGTGGTGACCCTGTCAACAATAACATGTCTGTCAGTCTGTCAGCCTCTACATGCAATGCAGAAAAGAACTACTGATGTCAATACACGTGGCAGTTCGGAAATCAAGGGCTGTCCGAGGGTCCTTGAAGCTTGCTGCTTTTGTATGTGAAATGAAGGACACTCTTCATTTGTAACTTTAACGTTTGGGATACAATGAGAACCCCTCGACTTTCCTGGTTATATTTTTAACACTGCTTTGACTTTCATCACTAAAGTTGGTTGATACTGATGTTAATAATCTTTGAATTATGGAGAGATGATTATTTGTTTATTACTTTGATACATATCTCAAACATGGTTTATGAATGCAGTTTATAATGGTTGCTCATTCATATGAAAGCATGGCAGGAGTTATTTTTCTGGTTGTAATTAGAGTATATGATATGCAGAATTAAGTTGTCTTTTTCCCCAAATAGTAGTTTAACCAAAATAGTAAATGTCTGAGACCTGTATCACTTTGTTCATTCCTTCCACATTAAACTGACATGCTGTGGTATAACTGGAATAGTGTACAAGAGAATGTTAAGCCCAACTCACTCACTTCGATCACTGCTTCTGTGGTGGATGTTTTCAAACTAGGACTGTAATCATTCATTGGTATTCAGTGCATTGAGATCCATTCTGCCATGATCAGGGTTCGAAATTATCATAAGTCTGCTAGTCTGAGTTTAGAAAGGTTCAGGAAGGATTAGTGACATTTCCTTGTGGACTATAACTATATCTATTTGGCAGATAAGATCCAAGCAGCAAATCATTTTTACAAACTCATTAAAATATAAAATAATTTCTAACCCTGATGATAGGAATACTGTACAGTGAAGATGTGTCTGGCTACACATAAATATGTAAAGAGTGCATGCATTTTGGTTTTGACAATGAATTGTAAAATATTTTTCCTAAGTGAGATTACCTAAGATGTTAATTATTTTATATTATTGATTATTGATTATTGATTATTGATTATTTTTGGTCACTAGTCATTCCCACCGAGTGCTGAGCATTTTTGAAACAGATGCCATGTTGCTACATACATACAATAACCTTGGAACCTGATGTAAACCCCATTTCACCTCACCTGAATCAGATTCTGTAGTGTGACCTGATTTTTAAGATACTTATCATATCGCAACAAAGTGTATCATTATTGCCCAATTGTCCCATGAAATAACTGGTACCCATGCATTGACTTTAGAGAAATACTTGCAGATTGGCAAATATGGTCTGAATATATGTGGTACATTGTTGTTGTGACAGAACTGTAGAATAATGCAGCTTCTGTTAGAAAGTCTGTTTTAAAGATAAGTTTCGTGACACGACAAACTGTTGTGGAGAGTGTGGAGACAGTTATCTCCCTTTGTGGTGTGTCGCGTGATGTCCTATTTAATGATGAACAGCTGTTTTACTGCCTAATTTAGGGGGTTGTTTTTCATACTGTTTGTATTACAATCCCACTACAGCGGTAATGACCCTGCTTGAGGCTGGTTAGATATGCTATAGGGTGAACAGAATTGGTCATGATGTAAACATTGCTGAGTGTAAGAAAATAAACCTGTTTCTCCAGCACTGCCCACTTCAGTCAAATAACCTCCATCACAGCATAATTAAAGTCACTCCAAGAAAGAATTCTTACAACAGGCTGCGACTTCTTTACACAATACAAATCAGGGTTAGAAACTAACAGTTTTTGTCCACTAGTCCTTATAATGATAACATATAGCAAACCATAAAAATGGGCCAATTTCTACTAGTCCTTAGGATACCTTTACTATTGCCAGTATTGGGCAGTTTGGTAAGGACTTCAGGACTAGCACCAATTTCTAACGTTGCAAATGTCTGCAAAGTAAACAAGTCTTTTTGGTAGAACTAATCTTCTTTTTGCTGACTGAATGTTGAGCTTAATAACAGTTCCTGTGATGGGTAGTATATATTTGATGTCTGCTGTATGGCTGGACCATTGTTGACTTGCTTCAAACATCATTCATTATTTGTGATGCAGTTCAATCAGCAGCTTCACAGTTGGATAAAGACAGTCTAACAATCTGTGGGGCAATTGTTAGCGTAATGAGTGGAGTTTTGAGGTGCTAGATTTTTTTTACACCAGAGTTCAAGGCATTATCAATACTTCATGATTTTGTGCGCACATTTCCGATAGGCTTTGACAGGCATTTCTTAGAAGTTGACGGATGACAAAGTAGACGAAAATGTATGGATAGCAACTTCTTTATTATACTGTAATAGCGACATTTCGGTATAGATCTTTATACTGAATTCAAGCAAGACTGACAGTCATACATTAGTCCAGGGGTCCGGAAACCGTCCAGATATTCTTAAATTTTGACCGGACATGATCAACAGTTAGGACTGAGCAGTTTCTGTCTGCAGTTGTAACACAATGAAGATTATCTACACTGACAAGCTTTGACTAATGATTAGTCGCCTTGTTTATCCAACAAATCATGGCGAGAAGGAAACTAACATGTTTTCTGAACACTCCAGTTACAAAGGATAGAACACAATGATGGCAGCACCCATGCTTAATGGAATTTGCCAAGAGGTACCAAAACAAGAATGTGTGGAAATGATATGAGCTATAAAGTGCTAGATCTTTTTGACAGTTGAAACATGTTTTGACAAAGTGGATTCTGGAGTGGCCAATCCCGGCTCAGGGAATGGTACGGATCCCAAATGTTTGTTTCACAGAATAGGGTCAAAAATGTCTTCCATGAGAAATAGAAACACATGACCATTACATGACACACCCACTGTATGTATCACTGGTGAGGGAGGAACACCGTGTGTAGAAAACCATGAAGTATTGACGATGAGTCCCAGGTGATATTCATCATGTTAAGGGGGCATGGGTGGCCTAGTCGTCTAAGGCGCCGCGATTTCCTGTGCAGAGTTGCGTCCCTTGGGCATGCCAGAAACCTTTGATTGTGGGTTCGAATCCCGTTTCGCCCTGATTATGTTTGTCAGCACCATACCCATGCTCGTGGATTTCACCGAAGTGGTAAACGTCTAAGACCTGCATCACTTCGGGCTTTCCTCCCACATTAAGCTGACACACCGTGATATAACTGGAATACTGTTAAAAGCGGCGTTGAACCCAACTCACTCACTCACCCACTCACTCATCATGTAGAAATGGTTTAACATTTCCATGTATTGTAAGTTTCATTTTTTTGTACATAGACTCTAAAGCTGATTGTTCACAATCCTTTCTTGTAATTTTTTTTGTCCCTTTATGGTAGACTAGAAAGATTATCAATATTTGTGATAGATGACGACGTATCAGTATTACATGTCCTTGTCAGGTGCAGTATGTTGAAACAGAAAAATGTTTGTAGGAAAAGATCCATTTTTAAGAGTGCTATTGTGATTGCGATTATGGTTTTAGGCATGTTTAATGCGATAATTTATCCATGTTATGATTTGAAATTAACAAATTTTAGATGGTAGTTAAGATTGGCATTAAAAAGGATATTTTCTTCCCAAGAATATTCTGTATAGTATTGTTATTATTGATGTGATATGATGAATTACATTTTGTTACTGCATTGTATTGTCCAGCATGGTAAAATTGGTGACAACTGAATCTAGTCCTTATGTTAACGATCTCTGGTTAATGCCAGTGTAATTAAATATGATTTTGATGGACGCACTGGAGATCTTGTATGGCCTGGCCTGTTCTCAAGGTGTCAATCCCCCATCTGAAGGTTACTGGCATCCCTTTTAATTTGTCTTGGTATCCAATTTAAGAACTCTTGAGTCATATCAGTGTGAACAGCTGGCAATTTTACACAGAATGCCTGACCTTGCATTCTTATAAACTTAGGGCTAAATATTGTATTGATTGATCACTCTTTGCAAGAAAAAAAAAAAGAAGAAAAAATTTCTGCATTGCAATATTGGCATCTGCGCACCAAATAATCATGTCATGACATCCAGCTTACTGCACTGCGGCATCCAGAATACCATTTAACAGGGCTTGGCATCTGCTTACCAGATAAACATGTCATGACATCCAGTGTACTGCACTGCGGCATCCAGAATACCACTTAACTTAACTCCAGTGTCTGTAGGAATGTCTGACTTCTTGTATCATCTGATCTTCAGATTGGTCAAACAGTTTCACTCGCCAAGGCATTTTGGATATTCAAATGTGTTTGTTGCATTATGTTTTGAAAGACAGCAGCTGTTCAATTTAGTAGTGTAAAAATCATCTTGATAAGCACTTGCCAATATGCTTAAAAACTCTGTATGATGACTCCCTGATGACTCTCCAGATGATTGCTGTGGGGAATGTTTATGAATAATTCAAGGGACACTAATACTTACATGTTTGTCTGATTTGGTAATCTGGACAGACAGGGTTTCATTGCATGTTACATTTTTTTTGGGATATCAGGGGGGTTAATGAAAAATTTCAGCCTAGCAAACATTGAATTGATTTTTTTAAAGATCATTGTTGTCAGCTTTAGTAATGTTTCAGCATCATCCACTTGCATTTCTGTACAGGTGTTCTGATCATGCATCTCCAACCATGCAAGAGTTTTTGAAATTTGAAATCTGAAAACCGGTGGGAGTTACATGGTCCGGATGTTGTGAATAAGGCAAATGGGGTGGAAGCTTGGTTCCACACGCCCATACAGCAACCACTGCATCCTGACTGGAAACTCCCCTTGCCATTGTGAACTGAATCTGGTACAAAGGTGCCGCAATTTAAGGTGCCGCGATTTGCTGTGCAGAGTTGCGTCCCTTTGACACGCCAGAAACCTATGATTGTGGGTTTGAATTCTGTTCTCCCTGATTATGTTTCTAGGTTTCTCAGCACCATACCGGTGTTCGTTTCACCAAAGTGGTCAACGTGTGAGACCTGCATCACTTCAGGCTTTGACTCCCTCATTAAGCAGATGAGCCATGATGTAACTGGAATACTGTTCAAAGCAGCATTAAACCCAACTCACTCACTCACTCACTCCCTCAGCTTGATTAGTGTCAATATTCACAATGTAATCATGAGGTGTTCACTATTTGTTTAATTTCAGTTGTTCCTTGTGTACAAGGCAAGGTGAGCTACAGATTTGTAGAGTTCTGTTCTGTCTCTGAATTACCTGATCAAGGCACCAGATTGTTTGATACACATGTTTTTCTTTACCTTGCATGGACATACTTCCATGATATGAAGAATTTGGAAATGTATATACCGGCACAGTGTTGGTACAATGTGTTCCACTTGCTGCCATAGTCAATTGTGGACTTAAGAAATAATTTTGAACAAGGAACTGGTATGGAATCGAATACAGACTTTCTACATGGTATCTCTGTCTTACCTGACCAGAAGTGACACACAAATACCACCTTTGATGCTGAGATCAGTCGGATCATTTCAAATTGATGTGCATCAGTTTAACCTTATTGTGAATTTTGTTCTCAGCGCCATACTGATGCATCATTGCAAATTGATGTGAATCAGTTTTAGACTTTCCTCCCACATTAGCTGACACAATGTGAGATAACAGAAATACTGTTACTGTTACCCATCTCATACACTTGAGGTTGCTTATTGTAACATGAACATCATTAAAACCAGGATGAAAACATCCCCTCCCATTAATTAAAATGACTTTTTGACCACTTGCTGATTCATTCTGAGACAGTTTTCAACCCCTTGAAGATCCGGTTAGAATTTGTCTTCAGCAACCCATACTTGTTGTAAGAGGTAACTAACGGGATCGGGTATTCAGACCAGCTGACTTGGTTGATGCATGCCATCGTATTCTAATTGCGTAGATCAATGCTCATGCCAATCACTGAATTGTCTAGTCCAGACTAGTCCAGATATTGCTAAATGCGACATGAAAGAACACTAACCATCATCAAGCTGTTACTGGACTGGGACCAACGTTACAAGTGTCTCTCTCTTTTGAAAATGGTTTTGGTTGTAACATGTTCCCTTAATTATATTTGTTTGATTCTGTTTGAGTTGATCGGTAAGTTGAAATACATGTATACTACTTAAAAGAAGAAATTAGAGAACACTCGATTCTTTCATGTTACTAAAGGTAATGTCATATCATGACAGATTAACTATAGTAATATAAAAGAATTGGGTGTTCTTTAATTTCTTTTGAGTAGTATACTGCACTTTCTTATGCATTTAGTGCAGCTTTTATAAACTGAGGGGAAATAGAAATTATTCTGAAATTGTTTTTTATGTAATTTAATATTGAGAGAACTGTTGTTAGATATGATTGACACTCAATTCTGCAACAGTTTGTAGAAACTGATCTGTGGCTGTGTAAACTTTGGTGTAAAAATAGATTGGTTTGATGAAGACTGGGGTAAGAAATGAATTTGCAAGCACATGAAATGATGTACATTTGTGCTGAAAAAAGCAAATTTATTGATTTTCAAAGACTAGACTTTGAAATTTATAAAAATACTTGACTTAAGATACTTTCAAGTGAAAATGAAGCATGATAAAATCAAGTGAGTGGTATAATTTCTTTTGCTCCTCAGTATATATCTGTTTTGTAGATGGTTAGTACTGTTGTCACATCTGAAGAGAGGATGTGCCAGTGGTAAATATGCCTTGAAATATTGTTTTATCTATTTATTGTCAGACCAACAGTCAGGGACACAGTTTATAATTTTAAGTACCTGGTGTGTCTGTCAAACTGAAAGGAAACAACCTTAGCTTAATTATTTTGAGATATTTTAAGGTACCACTGATTCTTATTAAAGAAATGTTTTAGGATTAGGAACTGGTAATTTCTAAGGGGTGTGTGGGATGCTATGAGATTAAGGGCGTCATGAACATATGGCACATCGAAAGAGTGGGGTCGCCCAAATTTATCACAACTATAAGGGGTTGGGAGCATGAAAAAATGAGTTCCATTTTTTTTCAAATATATATAGTATTAATGTGAACATTATTTAGGAACTGGTAATTTATTATAACACAGAATATATGAAAATCAGGCATTTTCATCAGGTATGAAGTGATTTCATTCTCAATTTGATTAAGAGTTATTAAGTTTTTCATCAAGTTCTGGGGCGGTCAGGTAGCATTGTGGTCAAAGGGTTCCCTCGTCACGCCGAAGACCCGGGTTCAATTCCCGACATGGGTACAATGTGTGAAGCCCATTTCTGGTTTTCCCCCAGTGATATTGCTGGAATATTGCTAAAAGCGGGGTAAAATCATACTCCCTTATATACTCATCTGGTTCCTTTTCTCTTCATGCATTATTGTGATGATTATTGTGATGATGTTGTGGTGTGCCTGTTTTGTACAGTGTCCTGTTTTCACATACACGCTTTTAGAGAGTAATGTAAATAAGCATTTATTGAAATCTATGATTAAATATGTACAATTTTCATGTCTTTTGTTTTATATTTATAATACCTGTGAAGATCCGGGGTAGAATAGGTCCTCAGCAACCCATGCTTATCGTAAGAGGCTACTAACGTGATCTGGTTGTCAGGCTCTTGACTTGCTTGATGAATGTCATCATATCCCAATTGTGTGGATCGATGCTCATGATGTCAATCACTGGATTGTCTGGTCCAGACTAGATTATTTACAGATCGCCGTCATATACCTGGAATATTGCTGAGTGCGGTGTTAAACAATAAACAAAACTTGTACAAAAATTAACCCATCGACACATTCTAACCAAATGGGCACTTGGGGAATCACTGAAGGTCTCTGTTTTCAGATGAGCCCAGATTTATTCTGAGACTGGCGTGTCTCCAGGCTTCCTAACGTACGTCATGCGAACGTCAACATGACAGATGTTTGTGTTGATGAAATGGGGGGGGGGGGGGGGGGGGGACAGTCGTCTAAGGCGCCGCGATTTGCTGTGCACCTTGGGCACGCCAGAAACCTATGATTGTGGGTTCGAATCCCGGTTCGCCACGATTATGTTTCTAGGTTTGTCAGCACCATACCCGTGCTCGTGGGTTTCACCGAAGTGGTAAACGTCTGAGACCTGCATCACTTCGGTCTTTCCTCCCACATTAAGCTGACACGCCGCAATATAACTGTAATACTGTTAAAAGCGGCGTTAAACCCAACTCACTCACTATAATGAAACGTGGCGGGGTCAATGCGAGTGGCAGAACTGCACATTGCCCATGGAAGGGTCACTAGACAGTTCTACCGAGACAACATTCTGGCGCCAAAGTTTGCACGCCATGGTGGTCCATATTTTGTTTTTCTTGGCGATAACGTCCACCGTGCACGTCAAACATCCGACGACCCGTGAAGATCGGGTTAGAATAGGTCTTCAGGAACCCATTCTTGCCGTTAAAGGCGACTATGCTTGTCGTCAAAGGCGACTAACGGGATCGGGCGGTCATGCTCGCAGACTTGGTTGAAGCATGTCATCGATCCCTATTGCGTGTATCGATGCTCATGATATTAATCACTGGATTGTCTGGTCCAGACTCGATTATTTACAGACCGCCGTCATGTGGCTGGAATATTGCCGAGTGCGGCGTAAAACAACAAACCAACCAACCAACCAAATCAAGTAACCGACTACCTCCAGAAGCGAGGTTTTCCCCCATAGAGCACGCCTGGGACTTGATCGGGATACGTGTAAGCCGACGTCACCCGCTCAGTAAGCTGAACTATCCGGGGCGGTCGGGTAGCCTAGTGGTTAAAGCGTTCGCTCGTCACGCCGAAGACCCGGGTTCGATTCCCGACATGGGTACAATGTGTGAAGCCCATTTCTGGTGTCCTCCGCCGTGATATTGCTGGAATATTGCTAAAATCGGCGTAAAACCATACTCACTCACCCACTGAACTGTCCAGGCGCTGCAAAAGGAGTTGAGCCTTGAATTCAAGAGCCTCGACGTTAACATTCGTGACCAACTCGTGTTATTCAGGGACAAGCCGAATTGCAGGTTACGGAAAGGGGCGAGTGGTGACGAATGTGACGTTAAGTGGCTCATTAGAAAGTTCACCCGACGGACCTTTGTGGAGAGGTATCGCATCAGAGGTAAACATATGATTTTGTTGTGATTGACACTTGGTTCTTTATCGATACAGAAAACAATATGAAAGAACGCAATCGATGACAAACGATTTTTAATATATAATATGATTTTATTATTCTTTGATTTTCTATTGCAAGTCTCCTGATGTGGTTTGGGGAAAACAAAGAAGCACTGAGATAGTTTTTAAATAATGGATCATTGTGTATTTTTGTCTTGAAATATATACGAAAATGCTTTATTTTAATGGCAGTGTGTAATGTTATTCACACATAGTATATGAGCAATCAGTCGCTTTCAGTCAGCGCCTGGAATAATAGGAACATGTCAAACAGAAATATATATATATGTTCTTATAAATATTCGTGGAATGTCGAAATTTCTGCCTCACAACTGTGCGGGTTCACGTGGAGAGAGCTGGTGCTTCGTAAAATTACTGGTAACTTCTCTGCTTTACAAGGTTGATGAACATTATGCATAACCATAAAATTCTGTCTACCTTGAACATTATGATTTAGATTTGCAGGATTATCATTTTTTCTGCAGCATTTGTACAAGCATATGTGGATTTAGTACTTATTATGGCGAGAGTCAGTCTGAAAACAGTGTTATAGAGATAGACACCAAGAGTTATAGCCACCTAATCCACGGCTCCATTCAGACGAGATCCCCGTGACAACGCTGGGCTACAGTGATACCTTGTTAATACGGAAGGTACCGTTCTCAGGAAGTCGACCGGATTAACACACATTTCCGGATTAACGAATCGTGTACGGAATATGTTCCCATGGATATATAAGGATGTTCCTGATAAGATTATCAGGAAGGTTATTCAGAAATTTAACATGCCTAGTGATCAATGTTAACAAGTTTTTGTAAAACCCGAAAACACATTATTTTGACCAGCAGTTTCGCGCACAAAAACAGCATTTTCCCATGTATAAATGGTCGTCCCTTACTGATCAACTGATCATCCACGCCTATTTAAAACCAGCTTCTAACAATCCCAATTGGATTCCATGCCAGGCTGAAGCTATTCCTCCAGGTGCATCAGGAAGTGAAAGAGGGTCTTTACCAATGCCCATATGTGTTCCCCGGAGTTTCTGCAGGGCTTGTAGTTGCTGCTGTAGAATGTCCCTTTGCTTTTGTAGTCTTGTTTGCTGTTCCCTCAGCTGGTGTTGATGATCAATAATTTGCTGTCGTTGGTGAAGGCGGTTGAGGACACTCAGCTGTTCGTTCAGTTGATCGTTGATTTGCTGTTTTCTCATCTCTGCGGTCTCTGGTGTAGACTTGGTGGCAGGTGTGGAAGGAGACGTGTTATCATTCAACGTGGTTGTTGGGGTAGGAGAGGGAGCAATGCTAGTTGTTTCTACTCGCGTAGACAGTGTCTTTTGACCAGTTTCATGTATGTTGATAATTTGACCATCAATAGCATCAACACCCATGTTGTTGACAGAGTAGATAGCTGTCAGCTCTACGTTCGGTAACTCGGAAAGAGGGACAGCGAAGGACGATTTACGCTTTTTCAGAAGTTCGCTTAGTTTATTTCTTTTAACCCTAGGATCGCCTGTGATAACAGCAGCTGGGATGTCTTTGAGTTTGAAGTCCGATGAATTTGCTATACTTCTTGTGGCAGTGTCCGGTTTTGTAAGTGATGGTTGAACGACAGTTGTCATGTGAGACGTCGCTGCTTCTGATGACGTTGTGGTGGATGGTGTTGACGTGACCAATGGTGAGTGCGCGGATGTCGATTCACTTCCGTTTTGTTTCACTGGCATTACTCTTTTTAGATCACCTACTATGGTGGATTCGGGTTTCATATCTTTCTTCAGAGGCATTGGTGGTTTGTGTCCAAGTTGTCTTCGTATTTGAGGCACCGACATTGTAGTACCATCACCAACATCAGCTCGTGAAGGTTTTACTTCTTTCAGAGGTCTGTCTGTGGCTGGGGAGTCTCTGTTGTGTCTGACAGTGCCCTGGAAACGATTCAGTTCCTTCTGTAGATTGTTCATGACGTGGTGCAACATCTGGGTATGTCGAACCACAGCATGTTGATGGTTTTGTACATTGCTCTGTGGCGCACTTGTATCATTGGACGTATTCGATGGTTTGAGCATATGAACAGAACTGTTAGGAATGTCAGCACTGCTTTTGACTAATGTTATTCTCGGTATTTTATGTCCCCGTTTTGACGACTGAAACGCCTGCTCTCTTCGTGAAGGTCGTGTGTGGGGGGATGAAATATGTCCGTTGAATGAATCTACTATCCTTTGATCATAGTTAACCAACTTTACATGAATTTCTGACAAAGGCTGGGTCTGTTTATGGCTTCTGTTATTATTCATAGGCGCAGAAATCCACAAGGGTCGTGGAGCAAAGTTGATCATCCTTATGAACATTTCTGAAATTGGGCGTTGTACTTGCCCAGATGCTACACGTGATATAGGTATAGACAGTGTCATCGTAGGTGCCTGTGTCGTAACTCGTGTCAGCTGTGGAATGAGAAGAATTCGGACTATTTTATGTAGATCTGCCGCTGTCATGTTCGTATGAGGCGTAATGGTAGACAAAGCGGAGTAATTACCCTCGGATGTGGCATTAATAGAAGAAGTTGAGGTAACGCCTGCCCGGGTTGCAATGCTGACACTTGTTGTGGTCTGTTGCCCTTGAGTACTTGTGGGAGGTGTTGGCGCCATGTTTAGCCCAGAAACCTTAACATGTGACCTTTCAGGAGGAAAGGTAGATGAACTATTGACAGATTGCAACTGCCTTTCTTGTTTTTGTTGTGGGGTGTGAGGTTGAACATACTGCTTGGTGGTGGAGCTTGTGCTGCTCAACCAGTTTGTTCCTGTGCTGAACTCAGCAACTCCTGGGGTTATTGTTGCATATTCAGCAGGGACATTCCACGTCTGTGTCGGATACTTCTGCTGATGCCTGTAGTATTGCCTAGTCTTCATCTGCATTTGATAGATCCAGTTTGCTCGTGTTGTTGGGTCCATTGCCTGTAGTTGAGAATATGCAGATGGACGGATCATCCCCCATGGAATAACATGCTGACTTGGCATCACACGATGTTGTTGAATTGGCTCGGATTGAGACATTGATGAATTTTGTTGAGACTGCTGATTTTGTTGGTTTGCAAGCATGGTCTGAAATGTTCTTGGATCAGACTGATGAATGAAATCTGGTTGATTACTGTTCATGTTTTGGTCGGTATGCATGTATTGTCGCTTGATGGCTTGCTGGTCTTGAAAGTTGGGTTGCCAACTCTGCTGGGGGAATGCCACAGATTGAACATTACCCACAGATGCTGTCCCACCTCTCTGGTGCCATGCATTATGGTCTGTAACGGATGGTTGTGGCTTACCTTGTAGTAGTTCCCTTGTCCCCTGAACTGGAACAGTCCTGGGAGTTTGGTCTGGCGTGTAGCTTCCTTCTTGGATTGGTATGGAACTTGCAGGGTTACCAGAGAATATCATTGAACCTTGATCAGGTACACTGGGTGCAGGAGAACCAACTTCTGCCCTTGATGAACCATTAATACTTGCTCTTCGATTTGACCGCAACTCGCCTTGCCACTGAGATGGATATGCAGATTGTGCTTCTAGTTTTCCAGTCTGCGGTCCTGTTACTACCTGGCTGTTTACATCCGAAACGTGGTTGCTTGTGGGATCTAGAACGGTCTGCGACTGTTGGACACTGCTTCCTTGCTGACGAGCCACACTGCCTTGATTCTGGGAGTCTACAATGCCAGTATCACTTTGAGCACTCATGATCTCTGGTTGAAGTATAACTCCAGGTTGATCAGGCCCATTCCTGATTTCAGCGTGTGTTTGGCGATCAAAGGCTCCTGGCAGGCTCGGGGCATTCCTCATCTCCGTTTGGGTTTGATGATCATTCGAAGCTCCAGACCGTCTGGGAGGATTCATAAGCTCGGCTTGTTGATAATCCATGAGTCCCTGCTGAACCTGGGCATTCATAGTCCCAGCTTGATTTTGAAGATCTAGGGCACCAATGTTTTGTGGGATGTCATACTGGTTTCCCCACGGCGGGGCTGGGGCCTGGGTGGCGTATGCGCCGAAGTCACTGAAAAAACCTGGGTAGGTAAGGAACCAGTCTTGTGTCCTCGTCTCTGGAGACAAAACAACGGAATCTGATAAATGCCTTGCTTTTAACGAAACAGAAGATACAGATTATCACTGATATGGAGTTACATCGATAACATTTTCTGAACGGTCATATCACTGTATATCACTGTAACGTTTGGTTACATGGGTATGGTACTGACAGACCAAAGGTTCCGCGACCAGAGGATTCTGGCTTGGCTAAGGTAAGTAACTCTGAACTGAAGTTTTGAACAAAAGTAAACATAGAGATGAGGCCTTATTATGATCGTATATAAAAACAGAATTGGACATGCTGAAGAAACACGTTTGGTGAAATGTAAAAGATGTGAATTACAATGGCATGTTGGGGAATACAGCTTTCTATGTTGTGACATACAGCTTCACCACTTCCTCCCTTAGGGCTGGTGGGGTAGCCTAGTAAAGCATTCGCCCTATTTTCTAAACGCGGCGCAGAAATGTACCGACTTACCCATTGTTCACATCTTACCGTCAACTAACCAGCACATACAAAGGCACACCAGAACCAAGGATGGCCACGAGTGACTTCCGGGATTCATCTAAAACATGGCCGGAATATTTTTTTCAGGAAAACAATATAAGCATATGTTAGGCAAGCTTTATTTCAAGAGGACTTGAAGTATGACTATATCCGTGTCCATTCCGCAGAAGCAAATAATCATTCATACAGGTACATGTATATTTATCATATCAAGTTTTTATTATGTTAATAAATCAGTTCGGGTTGTAGAATTGGTCAACTAACGGGATCATTTGGTTAGGGTCGCTGACAGGGTTTATCCGTTCCATCATAACCCAATTAGGTAGATCGATGTTCATGATGACAGTCACTGGTTTGTCTTATCCAGACTCGATTATTTACAGACCGCGTCACATAGTTTGAATATAACTGAGTGCGGCGTTAAAACAACAAAGAAAACAAATCAACAAACTCTTTAGTGGTGTTTAGTAGGCCCCACACATGAAGGAACAGTATTTCCACAATGTGTTCATGCTTGCAAATGAACATGTAATCCGAGGTTCATATGACATTGGCAAGTATTACTTGGTAGCTAAATTTGCACATGTCAGCGTAACACATTAGACGAAGGAGTACATGAATATGAGCACGTGATGGCGAGCTGAAGTTAGTAAGTGTATGAACGACACATTTAAACGTTCATGCGTTTTTCACTACACTGTATTCTTGAAATGACGAAAAGTTTTTAACGCCGACGGACATATTCCTGAGGAAACTCCTGGGAATACAGAAGCATTGTTTCCTATCATTTAGATCAATCTCGAATTCAGTGTTTTAGCATTTATGAGAAAACTCAACAAGTTTGGCTTCTTGCCCGCACAGGAATGTCCTTGCTTCGACCCATCGTAGTAAACAAAACCGATGAAATTCACTTCCAATAATCGATTCGATCCATGTCTGTGGACAGCAATCTCCCTCAGTATCTGTTTGACACATCTTAATAATCGGCCAATTGATAAATGATGACCAACATTTGTAAACCTCATTAAAACCTCGGAAATCTCTCCCATTATGCGTTTATCATTTTGGCGTTCTATTCTTCATTGCGTAAATGTATTACTATGCGTTGTCAACTGTGACCGACTTACTGAGGCCGTTCTTAACAGACCTTTCTCATCTAATGACGAAATCATTTGAATCTTTTTTGCTGTAACCACACTGCAAAATATGTTATCTCTCCCCTTGAAGAACTCTTTTATTCCGCGATACAGCTGCTAGCTGTATGGCTCTCAGTGTAAACATGAAATAAATGACATGCTTGAAATTGTGTCTGCATCCTTCGCTTGTATACTAGGAACAATATTTAAGGGAACCCCCGAATCCCAATCTCAGACCCCCGAATCCCAATCTCAGTAAGCACAATCCCAATAACACGTAAACATATTGGGACAATAGATAAAAGCGACAAACCCCTTTCCATTTTCACAAGAAATCGCTGCCAAAAGAGTCGATTGTACGATTCCGGCTTATAATGAGCATGTGTTTATGAATCACAATCAGATAGTGATGGTACCTGGTGTTCGCGAAAGGGTGAACGTATCCTGCCCCACCGGTGGGACCCGTCACAAACACATGCAAAGGCAAAACATTTGTTTGCCTGTAAAAAGACACAGGAACATATGGTACCCGTGTCAATTTAGTGAACAGCATTGGGCATCATTTCGTCACTGGTGTGTAAATGTGTAAATGTCCTTAACATGTCTACCATAAAACGTTTTGAAGGCTTTTGAAAGGCCTTGATCAAATAACTTCTGAGCAAGAGTCGACTGACGCTCTTTGAAATCTTCGTGGAAAGAGCATGCTCGATTGTACCCTCAAAAGCAGTGAAATATAGACACCTAAGGCTGGAGCTGCTGGAATATCGTTCGACATGATCGGAAAGTTGACTATTTGAAAATTGAAGTCATCCAGTTGTGAGACTTTTGTCACTTTGGATTATTATACATAGATCTATATATACAGACGAGGCGGCGTCACTTGTTTCCTTTATTTCCAGTTTAGTGAGTGAGTGAGATTGTTTTACGCCGCTTTTAGCAATATTCCAGCTATATCACGGCGGGGGACACCAGAAATGGGCTTCACGCATTGTACCCATGTCGGGATTCGAGCCCGGGTCTTCGGCGTGACGAGCGAACGCCTTAACCACTGGGCTACCCGACCGCCCCATTTCCAGTTTAGGTGTGTAAATCAGTAGAATTGGCTAAACGACCGTTCTTGAACAAACAGGTACTAGGAACGCGATTAGGTTTGCGTTTAGGATCTAAACAATGTACATGCATATACGTGAATGTGTGGAATAAAACATTAGGATAAGCTTGTTTCAATTCATACTGACGGAAAAGGTAACTGTGCTTCATATAAAGTTCAATCAAAAATATTATTTAGTCTGAAATTCAATACCGCATCTTTCAATACATATTCACGTTGACATCTCCATGACTTTCAGGTCGTGATTCACAATTTGGATGTTTGCGTGTTTATTGGGAGCATGATATTACACACGAGGATTTTGAATGTGAACTCCACACAATGATTGTTTAGTTATCAGGTGCTTATAAAAATACTTCTGTTTAACCGTAAATCACGCTTACGCAAGTTGCCAGACATTTCAATGTTCATCGATACACATCATCTCGTTGGAGACAAAGGCAACACGTCACGACAAGACAACTATACTGGGTTGGTGCATCCACGGAATCGATACCAAAATGCCATATTAACAGCTCCAATAATTCGTGGGTTGAGACCAATTAATGGTAGAGACCGTACGCAACCGGTTGAGGGAGCACAAGATCCGGCCCCAGCATCCAGTGATACGCCAAATTTTGCTTCAACATCACTGTCAGCCATGCCTAGCTTGGCGTAGACAGCATCTGAGGTTTAGAAGACAAGGCTGGGACAGTGTACTTCACGCAGATGTGTCGTTCATTGGCCTACAGGCGTCCATGAGAACGTTTTTGCGACGCTAGCGTTTATCATTGTCGTCAGTATCGGTTGTTTCTCCAGACCTATCACCACTAGACAATGTCTGGGATAAGATAAAACGACGCCTACGACAGGACCAGAACCACCCGGTAACGATAGCTCAGTTGGATCATTCTTTGGTTGACATTTGGAACAACATTCCCCAAGATGTCCTCAATGCGCCGCCGCCGCCTCGTCCGTATCAACGCAAATTGTGGTCATATCCGATATTGAAATAGTCAGTCGAGTTGTTACACCACTCCTCTTATAGACGTTACATTGAGTTTTGTCAATGAATTTGTTACGATAAAATATTGTTCAGACGAATGACCAAAAATTATGTTGTTATTTTCAATGACATAACATTTACACCACTTTACATGAAGCACAGTTACTTGTTTCCGGGAGTATGTAAGCTGAATTTATCCTTATTTAATAGATCATCAGTTATATTTTCAAAAATGTTTCAGAACAGGGATGTGACATATGTCATCGCCTCTTTGTATTTCATATATTATTCTATTTTGTATATCTTTTCAGAGAGCGTTTATTTCAGGTGATGAGCTTGTAGATATGTAGATAAACGATATTTGTACACATGTCAATAAAACCGTCTCAACAATGTCTGTATGTATTAGTCTCCACAAGACCAAGTTGCATTACTTTCTAATTACTACTCGTGCTGAAGGTTACCTGTTTTTCAGTGGGAACCTTCGTAGCACCGGTAGCTGATAATTGCCATGGCAACGATAGCTCAGGACTTTTGTAGCCCACTAGCACCTGCACGCCTTCGGCTATTTAATTAACACTTCACTCGTTCTTACAGGTATGAGAATCCTCCTCAGTATGGTAGCCCTTTGAACTTTATACAAATTGTCAAACGTACCTTGTGCCGAGCAATTTGGTGTTCTTTTGACAGAGTGATGGTAGTTTTTGTTCTTACTTTCATTTCCCAAATGAGATGCACAACAGCAAAGGGAAAGAGTGAGTTGGGTTTTACGTCGCATTGAACAGTATTCCAGTTATAACACAATGTGTCAGTTTAATGTAGGGGGAAAGCCCGAAGTGATGCAGGTCTCAGACGTTCATCACTTGGTGAAACACACGAGCACGGGTATGGTACTGACAAACCTTGAAACATTATCGGGTCGAACCGGGATCCGAACCACAATTATAAGTGGCTGTCGTGCCTAAGGGACGCAACTCTGCACAGCGAACTGGATCAAACGTGACCTCTAAAGAGAAAAACGATTGTGATGAAATTCTTTTACCTCAATATCCACAAAACGTCTTAATGGATGGTGACTATTATCATGTACGCCCAATGCATTTTCCCAATGAAATGTAATATATTAATATTAATTGTAACATGATTTTGGACATTATTTAACTCTGATTGGTCAATCAAAGGTTTCAGATCATTATAACTACCTCTGATTGACAGCTGATCCAACGACCGCATCACGAAGCTGATATTTATGTTAAAGTACTTTGTCGATAGGCATTTTGAAATATTCATATGTACAATTATACGTTACAAGACATAGTAGCTGTTACTACAACATTCAAAGTAGACTGGCAATGCGTTTTGAAACTGACTAAGAGAGTATATTTCAAGATTTATGGAAAAGAGAACTTGAAGTTTCACTGCGCATTCAGTTCCAATTTCAATTTAGCGCGGCCAAAGTTCTACAGTGCCCAACTATTCTTCAAATATAAAACTAATCCTATTAACTGCTGCTGAGGCCAAGCAACAGCACAGAACAGCACAGCACAGCACAGCACAGCACAGCAAAGCCCAGCCCAGCATAGCATAGTACAGCAGTAGTGTAAAGCACTGTAAACATATCATGTCATATTCTAAGTGGCCCTGTCACATTCCAACACTACCTCTACTTAATCTACTACATCTGTAACTCGAGTGTCACATTTCTTCTTATAATGAAACACTGTTTTTATTGGATGATTAATTTCTTCAACCAATGACATTCAAGACCAGCGTATGTTTCAGATTCATACATACGAGACAAAATGGTCAAAAAAGCAAATTTGATTTTCACCCAACCATTTCATGATCATATGTTTCAGAATCTTGTTTGTTCTGTTGCACCTGTATGCATTTATGTAACATAACTTAGTTATACAAAGAATAATTTGCAGAATGCAATTTCCAAAGAACATGTACATGTATGTATCGAAACAACAGAATACATGCGTGCATGTGTGTTTGATGCACTGGTGCATAGCAAGGTTTCCCGTAAAATGGAACCGAAACATTTGTGTAGTTTGTCTACCATATTTCAATTAGGGGTGTCACGATAAATCGAAATATCGGTACATTGCTATTGGTAAGCACTAAAAGTCAATAAATCGATTGTTAAATCAGTTTCCGAACAATAGTATCGATTTCAGTTAGGAATATCGATAGTTTCGATTGTATTTACCATAGTTTTACAGTTTCAATAAAATAGATGCAATGCTGTTCAAATTTGTTTTTCTTTTGATCATGAGTGGTAGTAATTTTCACATGGTAATGTGGAAGTTTCTTTTTCTTAAATTATAAGGGTAAACAAAATACAAATCAGTCATATCTCAAACTTTACTGTTTATTCGTTGTTATGGTTATCACATTCAATGGAAACTTCAGTTCCAAGGTTGAATTCAACTCAAAAATCCATCTAAAATGATACACTGAAAACTATCGATATTTATCGCAATAGTTGCTTGCAATATCAATAGTTATGGCAATAGTTTCT